TTGAATGAACGTAGACACATCCCCCCCAAAACTGGGGTTTGTGGCCCGTCAAGTTCAAGTTCTTAGGGATGCAAGGGTGGAGGCTCCAACATTGCCACCACCCTGATTGGGAGGCTGTGGGAGGGGCATGTGGGGTGTTAGACCGTGACCTTGGACATCCGAGCCCCATGGGAGTCCCATTCCAGCACTGACTCTGGGTGACCGTGGGCAGTTACCAATCTCACCAGGCTCTGCTTCCTCGTCTGGAAATGGGGACAGGTCGGTCCCATCGTGTAATGGTTAGCACTCTGGACTCTGGAAATGGGGACAGGTCAAAAGCCTCATGGGACTGTTGGGGGCGGGTGATCACTGACGTGCCCAGTGCGATCTCTAGCACAGGAGGTATTCAGAGGGTCCCAGCTGCCCTATCACTCCGGGCTGTGGGCCCGTGGCCTGGCAGTGTCCGTGGCCCCTGAGCTGCCTGGCCGCAGGCAGGTGGGCCCTGGAGCATCCCCACCCCAGGGATGGGTGCCTGGCCCTTGCCTCCCCACCTCCTGATATACAGCGGGCGTTAGGCTGCCCAAAGGGGACACTGCATCCTTAGGAAGAAATATGTCCTCATTTTTCTTAAACACCGTTTCCACTGAGTGAAATGTTTAGAAGGGACGCACAGGGAGAACTTTATTTCCTACCAGGGAGTTCAGAGCCACCAGGCAGAGCCCATAAAGCACCCGGAGCCTGGTAGCTGACAGGCTGCCCGGCCCCGAAACACATTACTCACGAGTTTGGGGGGGTGCTGCCAGGCCTGCCCAGCCCCCAGGGACTGCCCCCCACACACACACACAGCAGGACAAGCAACTTGGAGAACCAGGCCATGGGCACTGGGCACCGGAGCTTCTCATCCCCTTGAGCACAGGCTGCCGCAGGTCAGGGGAGGGCCTGGCCCCAACCTGGCCGGGAGGTGGAGCCGTTCCAGCCACCCCCAACCCCTTAGTCCCCAGGGATCCGGGCCCAGGGGCCCAGGTGCAGCTGCTATAGGAGCCCCCCTGTCTCCCCCATAACTGGCAGGAGCCCTGGCCTCCTCAGCCTTTGGAGGGAATGATGAGATTCCTGCCATAACCGGCCCTTCTCCCGAGGCCCTCCCTTCATTTGATTTCTGAAGCTGGCTGATTTGAATATTTATAAATATCAGTAAATTATTTATTGTAGCAATCTGCTGCACCATTTCACCCATTGCAGTTAACACTTTAGGGGGCTCCGTGTTACGGGAACCAGGAGTGGGGGTGAGGAGGAGATGGGGCAGAGAGGCCTGGGACTTCCTACAGCCCACCCAGGAGCCTGAACTGGGGACGTGATGGCAGCCTCGGCGCCTTGCTGAGCCTGGGGCCTTTGTGAGCCCAGGCTCTGGGGTGTCTGCGCGGCTCCAGGATCAGTTGCCTCTTCTATCAAAGAAGGGATGAGGGCAGTCCCTGCTTCACTGGGTCACCGTGAGGCATATCGTGAGATAGTCCCCAGAAATGTGCATGGAAAGTCCGGTTTCTGCCCCACCTGCCTGCCGCCAGGATCCGCTCAGCTCACAGAGGAGGGCTGCTTGCAGGTGGGCTGGTGGAGTTTGGAGCACCGGGAGGGAAGGTTCAGACCCTGGGAGCTGATGCCGGGGGCGAGGGGGGGGGGGCGCGTTTGTTGCTGAGTAGGCAGCCTGCCCCCCAGCCAGGCCCCCCAGCCTCTCTGGTCTCCCCTCTCTCTTCAGGGCCAGGTGAGGTTTCCAGGTCTTGGGATCTTGTGCCTAGATGTGCACCACACCTGCTTGCTTGTCCCCCCCCCACTCAGGACTCAGCTGCCTTTTCTCAGGTCCTTGCTTGCCAGAACTCTCCCACCTTAAAGTCCTGTGGCCCTTTCACGGGGGGAGAGCCCGCCCGGGGCCGTGAGCTAACAAGGGGGAGAGCCAGGCTGTGCCCTGGGGCTGTGCCACCTCCTGAGGCTCACCCCACGGGGCCAGAGCTGCCGGGGCCAGAGGCTAGAGTCTGGGAGAGCCGCTGGGCTTGCTTCCTGCGTGCAGGTCCTGGCCGCTCCTTCCCCCAGGCCTGACTGGGCCCACCTCAGCGGCCTCGCCCCTTGCCTCCTTTCTGGAGCCTGTCCCTGAATAAGCAGTGCAGGAGTCCCCTCGCCTTCCCACCCTCCGGCCCAAGCCTGCCTCCTGGGCAGTATTGTTCCCAGAGGAAGTGTCCAGTGTAAATACAGCAGCGGGCAGGCTGGTGGCGGGAAGGAGATGAAAGGGGCAGTGACAGGGCCGGGGACGGATGGCTTCCTCCCATTGAGGCCTGGCCACGGCGTTTATATTTTAGGGAAGAAAGTCGGGGGAATGTTTACATGGACAGGAGCCTGGGGTCAGACCACGAGGGGGGTAGTCTGTATATCCCAGGGCCCTGAAGGAGGGGGAGGGGAGAAGGGCTCCGCGGAGTGGGCCGGAAGGCGGATGGACCTTAGCTCTTTCATACTCTCTACCGCTGCCCTAGCCTCTGCCTCCTGCCCTGCACCCCAGGCCCACACGCCTTCTCCACCTCTACCCCTGGGACCAGCAGTAGAGTCAGAGGGAGGGCAACATCTGGAAGGCAGGTGGGCTGGGGCAGAGCAGCATCTGGAGGGCAGGTGTGGGGGGTGTAGGCGGAGCAAAGGGGCCTGTGGGCTGGGGGTGGGCCCTGGGTGCACAGCTGCATCGCAGCTGGTGGGGGCCCAGGAGGGACCGAGCCAGGCACACGGCCGAGACCAGGGGAGGGTGGGCTGGACTGGGTGGGCCCAAGTGCCGGGAGGCTCCAGGATGGGTGGGAACCCAGGGAGGGGGTGTCACCAGCAGCAAGTGCAGCCCTGGGAGCTTCTGCTTCCCTCTTCCTTGGGATAAATATTTATAGATCCATTTGCTGTCTGCCATACACACTTGGCTGCTTACCTCCTGGTAAAAATAGAGCAGGCTCCCCTACTCCCCCCTTCCCTTCCCAACCAGGGTAGGGGACAGAGGGGGCCAGGTGAGGCCTGCTGCCTGTAGGTCTGTTGGAGGAAACTTGGTGTCGTGCAGCCTGGCGGCTGGCCCAGCAGTTGGGTGGGATGGTGTGACTAGGGGACCCATGTCAGTGCTTGGAGACTTGGGCATGGGCAGCATGGACTTGGAGATCTGGGTGAACTTGGGGAGAGCGGGCCCTTGGCCTGGGCAAGGGTGGGGCCCAGCAGAGCCAGGGCCCCAGGACTGGGAGGACTGGTGTGAGCCAAGCAGAGCCTTTTCTGGCCGTGAACACTACCTAGCCTGGTCTCGGTCACTGGGCCCCCAGGGCCCCAGGCCATATGCCCTGGCGGCCGGCTTCAGAGCAGGTCTGGGGCTGCTGGGCATTATGCAACCACCCGGGTGCACAAGCCGAGTCTCATGGAACAGGGTCCCTGGGCAGGGGCCCAGGTGTGGTCATCCTGTCTGAGCATGCCTCTCAGGGGGCTTCCAGGTGTGGGGGTTTTTAGGGCATTGACACATTATAGGGAAGCCCCTTCTGCCCATGGCCCTGGGAGCGGAGCCCCTGCCCTCACTCAGCCTTTTGACCATTGTGGGTGGAGACTCAGACATGCCCATTCCTCCGCTGAGGGACACGCGAGGGAGCCCTGCCACTGAGAGACTCCAGTGGGGCTCCCTGTGCCCAAAGCCAGTGTGGGCTGAGCCTGTGTGCCCAGCCCACCACAGGGTCTGGCCCACAACAGGAGTTGACTAAATGGACGGATGGAAGGGTGGAGGACAGACAGACAGATACACAAACATGTATATGTGTGTCCACCCTTGGCCTTTGTGGCAGGTCCCAGGCTGTGTGGTGAGGGGACTTGCCGTGCGCCATCCCCCCCACCCCGGACCCTGGGCGCCCCGCTCAGCAGCCGTGAGGAAGGTGGCGAGGCCTCGGGCAGCCTTAGTTAGAGTTTCTGTCGAGCTGTCATGTGCAGGCATTCGGCACTGCAACCGCAGCTTTTGGGCTCTCTGTTGGGGATCTGAGGAATCCCAGCCTGCTCCAGCTGTGGCTTCTCCAGGCGGGGACGTGGGCTTCCCGGAATCAGCCAGGTCTACGAGGGCCGCGGGAGCTGGCCGAGGCCGAGAAGGCAGAGTGAGATCCCCAGACGGGGATGAGCGGTTCTTGGAGGGACTATCAGGAGTTCTGTCCTTGAATGGCCCTCACTGAGGCTTGAGGAAAGGAAATGGCCAGAGAATTCGAGCGGGTCTGTGAAGGGGAGGGGAGGGAGGAAAGACAGAGGCCTTCAGAGGGCCCTGGGTGGCTGGGGGGAGAAGGAAGGGGTCTTGGGGCTCTCCAGTGAGCAGAGGTAGGAGTCCGGTGGGGCCCAGGGACCAGGTCTGGTAGAGGAGCTGCCAGAGAAGAGATGCTCAGGTGGGGAAGGGTGCCAGCCCCTTGTGGCTGGGACAGGAAGGCAGGAGGTTGGTGCGGGCTGCTCCCTGGCTCTCGGCAGTCTCCTCCCTGTGCGGCAGGCCATGGAGGGGGGCGGGGTGGCAGATGCTCCCAAGATGCTGTCACTTACCAGTGTTACCCAGTGCCCAGCCCCTCAGCCGGCGTGCGTGCCTCGGTATCCTTGCGTGTCAGAGGACACACCGCCTCCTCAATCTGGGGTCATGTGTGGCCTGCCTGTCAGAAGAGGAATTGAGAGCCAAGCAAGTGTAGGAAATGCTTCCAGAAACCAGGTGCTGAGGAGAAGCCTGCCCCTGGTGTTTGAAGATCACCCATTAGGATGTTCATTTACAAACAAGCCCTCCTTGAACCACCTAGTACAGGCCCGCCCCGGTGCCCAGCTCTGGGGACGGAGCGCCGGGTGAGCTGGGCCCCTGGAGCTCCGGGTCCGGTGAAGGGCCCAAGGCCCCGCCAGCCAGGCTCAGGGCAGTGTGGGGAAGGCGGAGGATTGGGAAGACATGGGGCCTGGGGGCTGCCAAGGGCGGGGGGACCGAGTCCAGCATGCGCCCGCCCCTGACCTCTCCGTCCGCCCCACAGCTGAAGGCACCCGGTGCACCGACCCGCCCGCAGGCAAGCCCGCGATGGCGGCCAAGCGCAAAGGCGGCCTGAAGCTCAATGCCATCTGTGCCAAGCTGAGCCGCCAGGTGGTGGTGGAGAAGGGGGCGGAGGCGGGCCCCCAGGCCGAGGGCAGCCCACTGCGGCCGCGGGACCGAGAGGCCGGTGTGGCCCGGGGCGCCCGCAGCGAGGAAGACAAGAGGCGGGCGGTGATCGAGAAGTGGGTCAACGGCGAGTACAGCGAGGAGCCCGCGCCCGCGCTGGGCCTGGGACGGATCGGCCGCGAGGGCCTGGAGCTGCCCCCCGAGGGCGTCTACATGGTGCAGCCCCAGGGCTGCAGCGATGAGGAGGACCACGGTGAAGAGCCCCCCAAGGATGGCAGTGGTGTTGCAGGCGAGAAGGAGCCTGATGGGGCAGCCTCCAAGGACAACAGCGGCCCCGGTGCCAAGCAGGCTTCAGGTAGGTGTCTGAGCCCCAGACGGATGGATGGATGGAAGGATGGCATGATCCCGTCGGGGGGGAGTAGGGGGTCCGCGGAGCCTGCCGCCTTCCCCCTGTGTGCTCCCCTTACCGGTACCTCATTCTGCCCCGCCAGTTCTCCTGACATGGGGGCCTAGGGCCAAGGTAGTGGCCAGAACGGGAGACTTGCTCGGGGGGGGAGAGAAGCTTCCCAGGGTGAGCCGGGTGGGGGGCGGCCGTGGGCACAGTGGTGTCTGATGGCTGCAGGGACGCAGGACAGAGGACAGACTGTTGGACTGTCTCTCCACACCTGCACAGAGGAGCCTGCAGGGGCAGGGCTGCTCAGCTCCAGGATAGGCCTGCTCTCCCACCCTCCCCTGCCCTCTCCCGAAAGCCTTACCCTCACCAGGGACACTGGCTATCCCAGGCAGGACCTCTCAGGGGTGAGGCCCAGGGCCACAGGATGGCCCCACCCGGCCCAGCCTGCATGTCCCATCATACCCACCTGCCCGGGACGCGCTCCTCTGGCTCACCTCTTTCCTGTGCACGAGATGGCTAAGGCCCACCTTTTGGGCTCTCTTTGTCCTTACAACTCAGAGCAGCCCCAAGCTCCTTCCCCTCCAGGGAGGGAGGGCCTGCAGTTTCGGGTGGAAGGGGGTCACCACCGCTAGGATGGAACCCCAGGTCTGGGGTTTTTTTCTCCCGCTCCCAGCCTCCTTCTCAGGCCTGTGCGTGGTGCCCCGAGCCTCCCCTGCCTGCTCCCCGATCCCCTTCCCCCTGCAGCGAGGGGCGCATCTCCTCCCTGCGCGGGGAGCCCTGCGCAGCTACATAATTATGCATATAAGATATAAACAGAGCTGTTTAATTATCCTTCGCCACATCAGTGACAGAGTAATTAACAAACATTGCAAGATCAATGAGGAAAAGTGTGACCTTCAGTTTCCTCTGATAGGAAAAGCCCTTGCCGTTCCCAGACACAAGGTGATTGTGCTGAGCCAGAGGAGAGGGAGGGACAGGGACAAGGGCCGCTGTCCCATCGGGGCCCCAGCCCCTCCCAGGCCCAGCTCTGCCCTGGCTCCTGATTCTCTCAGCCCAAGTGGGGAGCTGGGACCGTAGAGGTAGGCCTGGAACTGCCAGTGGCCTCATGACCCAGGCATCGCTCCTCCTCGGGTTGGAGGCCCCATGGGACTGCAGTCTGACACCCGGGGCAGCCTGCTCAGCCCGGGCCACCAGAGAGAACCAGTTGGAGCCCTATCCGCCCACCGGGCTCGGGCCACCTTCTCTGGGCCTGGGGACTCAGGAATGCAGGCCTCTGGGCTGCCCCAGACCCCTGCCGGGCCCCCTCCCTCCGCTAAGCTGCCTGCCCTTCAAAGCCTTCTGTCTCTCTGCCATATATAGTGAGGGCTCAGCTGCCTCCTGCTATTTTTAGCCCCTTTCCCTGGTCCCTGAACCACTGAATCTAGCAGCCAGAGCCCACTCCTCCCAGGCTGGGCCCCCCCCACCCCACGTAGCTTGAGGTCAGGACAGTGGCCCACCGGCCACCCTGCCCCAGAGCCGTCTGTTGGCTCCTGGAGTCACTCTGCCCACCTTGGGGGCCAGGTGCTACCTGTGACTGTCCTCACACAGACCTGGTAGGTGGGGATGTGGGTTGGGAGGTGACCCCCATCGGCCGCCCTGCTGGGGTCCTGGGCCTCCCCTTCCTCAGCCGCGCCTTCCCCTGCTGTGCTGTTAGAACTTCCAGCCGGGCATCCCGTTGCTCCGAGTATGCCCGGCTTTGCGGGCTCAGACGAGAATGCAGGGAACGTGTGTGTCCCTGAGGCCCATGAGGGTCTCACCCTCCTATGTGCACCCGCCCCTGATTCAGGGCACAGCACATAGTAGGTGTTTAGCGAGTTTCTGCACAGGAACGAGCAGGTTTGGGTGAGCTGGAAGTCACACGTCTGCTGTGGTGGAAGGTGGCGTGTGCAGGGAGGCAGGTCTCCACAGGAAAAGCCCAGGCAGCCTAGGGTCAGCTTGCCCCCACCATCAGGAGACTCATCCTGGGGAGATGGCGCGTAGGATTTAGGGTGGTTTGTGTCCACGTGTGTGTGTCTTTGTGGAGCTGGGCAGGTAGCTGGGGGTGGGCGTGTGTGCACGCATGCACACGGGTGTTTGCTCATGTCCCTGTGGAGAAGTTGCCCCCACAGTGGGCACAGGCGGGGCCCACAGATGGGCCGTAGTCTGTCCGCTGCCAGGGCTGGCAGGCCCAACCTCTCAGGCCCAGACTCTCCTCGGGGGGACCACCCTCACACGCAAGCATGAGGATTGACAGGGGAGGTTCGTAGGACTCCCCACGTCATAAATCTTCACTGCAAAGAGCCCTGAGTGAGTCTGAGTAAACACATCCGCAGGGCACCTGCCCCCTCCGCCCTGTTGTCTGGGACCCTCAGCCACTGGGGGGCTGGTGGGAAGCCAAGAGGCCAGCTCCTGGGGAGGCTTGGGGCAAGCCCTCCACCTCCCAGGGATGAGGGGCTGTGTGTCCACTTGGGGGGTCTGGGAGAGTCCCCCAGGTGGGCTTACCCAGTCCCACCCCAACCCTGTCCCCAAGGGCTCCCTCACCTCCTGGGGTCCCTCCTGATGGCACGGCCGCTGCCCCACATCCTTACCTGTCCCCAGCCCCCATGTCACCCCACCCTGAGGAGCCAGGTTGGGATCTGGCCTTACTTCCAGTAAAGTGACTTCTCTTTCATATTAGGCCAAGGCGAGAGAGAGGAGACATTTATGAAACTTTGTTTAATGTACTGAAAAGCCATCGGCCAGAACATTTAGGAAATTGATTTTCCTGGCATTGATGAACTCGTTTTATTTTACCCCGGTATTAATTACTTTTTTTTAAAACAAATTAATTTAAGAGTCGTAAAACCTAACAAGTGAGCCAAATGTCCATAGATCATGTCGTGCTCCGCCCCCTCCCCACGCCAGCCTCCTCCTTCTGTGGGTGGGGGCTCGTGGGGAGGGGGTGCCCCCCATCCCTTGGCCACCCTGCTCTTTCCCAGAGGTGACTGGGCTCTCCCCGCACCACAGGAGAGGCCTCCTCGCTCCGGGACTACGCGGCTTCTACCATGACCGAGTTCCTCGGCATGTTTGGCTATGATGACCAGAACACGAGGGACGAGCTGGCCAGGAAGATCAGCTTCGAGAAGCTGCACGCGGGCTCCATCCCGGAGGTGGCCACCTCTTCCATGCTGCCCACCTCCGAGGATGCCCTCAGCAAGCGGGCACGCTTCTCCAAATACGAGGAGTACATCCGCAAGCTCAAGGCCGGCGAGCAGCTCTCCTGGCCAGCCCACAGCACCAAGGCCGAGGAGCGGGCGGGCAAGGAGGTGGCGGGGCCCCTGCCTGGCCTGAGGCTGCCCAGCAGCACAGCTCACCTGGAGACCAAGGCCACCATCCTGCCCCTGCCCTCACACAGCAGTGTCCCCATGCAGGGCCTAGTGGCCCGCGCCTCCAAGTACGACTTCTTCATCCAGAAACTGAAGACAGGCGAGAACTTGCGGCCCCAGAACGGTAGCACCTACAAGAAGCCATCCAAGTACGACCTGGAGAATGTCAAATACCTCCATCTCTTCAAGCCCGGGGAAGGCAGCCCCGACATGGGCGGGGCCATTGCCTTCAAGACGGGCAAGGTGGGGCGCCCCTCCAAGTATGACGTCCGCGCCATCCAGAAGCCGGGCCCTGCCAAGGTCCCGCCCACCCCCAGCCTGGCTCCTGCGCCCCTCCCCAGCGTGCCCAGTGCTCCCAGCGCCCCTGGGCCAGGGCCTGAGCCACCTGCCTCCCTGCCCTTCAACACTCCCGAGTACCTGAAGTCGACCTTCTCCAAAACAGACTCCATCACCACGGGGACCGTCTCCACTGTCAAGTAAGTCACGCCCCATCCTGAGCTCGGGACTCGAGTAGCCAGGAGGCCCACTTCTCTGCCTCTGAAGCCCATGCTTCTGCACACATCCACTCATCCCTTAGGCATATCTGCCACGCACACAGGTTAATACACACTCAGGTTCTCATACACGTGCTTGCACACACACACACATAATCGCTCATGCCCGGTTCCTGGGCCGGACATCTTGCGATGTGCACACTTGCTCTCACGTGTGCTCGTCTGCTAACAAGCACACCGGGGCCTACTGTGACCCCCATTTCCCAGTGACAGGCTTTCTCCACCTCAGATGCAGCCTTGGGGTTGGCTGGGGAAGCCCCAGTCCGGGTTAGGGGTTCTGGGCTCCAAACTGGTGGTCATGGCTCCCAGGCTCAAAGCCTGGGCTCTGGGGAAGGCAGCAAGAGAAGGCAGGAGTCTGGGGTGGGGGTGAGCCCACTCATTGCTAACCCCCGGGCAATGGTAAAATCCTCTGTGGATCAATTGTATGGGACTGGGAGACACCCTCCCACACCCTTGAGGCAGAGCCCACAACCTGGGAGCTGATCTAGGGAGTTGCCCACTGGCCTGGCGTGGGGGTTGGTTCTGACCAGCTAACCACACTTGGTTGGCACTGCTCTCGCCCCTTCCCCTGGGGTCTTCCCAGCATCCTCCTGACTCATGGTGTACAACGGGGGCCAGGCCCCAGCTTCTAAGGCTTCCTACACAGCTGGACTCCAGGTTGGGCCCACGACTGAGGTGGAGCCCTCCAGCCGGCCAGCTTGGGATGGTCCTGCCTTTGCCGGAGTTGGGCGAATTGAACCTGAGCCAAGTTTCTGCCAAAAGGGCTTTTCAGTCCCACCATGAGGGCCTCAGAACATGACAGAGCAAGAGAGGGAAGGGCCAGGGCCCCAGGGCAGGGAGCTGCCCCTTAGACACTCCTGGGGCATGAGGCTACCCCCTGTCCGCTCATCGGCTGTGCCCTGTGTGTCTCTCGCCAGGAACGGACTGCCCACAGATAAACCAGCTGTCACCGAAGATGTAAACATTTACCAGAAATATATTGCCAGGTAGGCCCCTGGGGAGGAGACGGCCATGGAGAAAAGGTGGGATGGTGCCAGGAACACCTAGGGACTGTGGGACCATAGGTCCATCTGACCGCCAGTGCCAAGGTGCCTGTGGCTTCCCCACCCTTGTGCACTCCTGCCCTCAAATTCCCCCAAGGGACTGCACCCCATCTCAGAGCCCCTGCCCCCTGATGTGGTCTGGGCCAGGGTGTCCGAAGGCCACGGGTGAGCCCAGAGCCCCACCGTCGCTTACATGGAGCCGTGGGTGGGACGCAGACCAGAGCTGAACCAGTGGGGATGAGAAGGGGGTGTGGGCGATGGTCCTCCCTGACCTGGCCTCAGTGTGCTCCCCGGGCCAGGCCTTGATCCTCAGCGCCCGACTCCAGACCCACTCCTGTACATTTCTAAGGCAGCGGGATGGGCAGGTAAAGAACCTTCGCCTTAACAGATTCCCCCAAATCAGGCCCTTCGCTGCCAGCACCCGATGGGGCAGCACGTAGCAGGGGCTGCGCCCCGGCCTCTGTCTTTCTGCTGATCTTCTAGGTTCTTCCCAACCCTCTCTGCCTTTTCAGCTTCTCTCCGTTCTATTATTATTATTATCATTATTATTAGGGCCTCAGCAGATGGCCCTTTTGGCAGCTTCAGCGTAAATATGTATTTGCAAATCGTTCTCCCCTCGTAAGGGCGTCTCCGTCTCTGTCCTGCAGTCTGAGGCCCGTCTCCTTCCCGCTGTCATTGTGGGCTCTCCCCCAGAGCAGCCTCCCCAGGGTAGCCGGCACCGAGACCGAGAGCCACACTGCGGCAGCCTCGGGGCCTAGAGAAGGCACGGGGTTTCCCGGGAGGCAGGCCGTGGCCGGGCAGCCGGGGGCTCCTGGCTGCCGAGTGGGCTGGAGAGTACACTCCCTGCTGCAGGAAGCCGAACAGATGCTGTGCTTTAAAAATTCATGACCCTGGGCTGTTTCAAGTGTCAGGAGAGCCCGGGACAGAGAGAGGCCTTAACACCTCTCAGCAGCTGGGCCCTCCCGGCCTGTAGCTGCAGCACCTGGCTTAGCCCTGGGTGGGGGGCCAGCAGCGGCCCCTGCAGGAAAGGCAGTCGGGCCACCGTGGGGGGCTCCTGCCCTCACCGCCTCATCCCATCCCATCCCAGGCGTCTTCCCGTGTCTCTGCTCTGACTTTCGACCTGCCCCGGCTTCTTCCTCCCCACCTTGGTGCCAGGTCTGTGCGCCTCCCTGGGCCCTCGTTCCCAGCGCAGGGGGCACAGGCCTGCAGTTCAGTGGCTCTGGGATTCCCAACAGGCGCGATCCCTCCGCCAGCTTTCTTAGGCCTCTGCCACTTCACCCCTACAGACTACCTCTGCTGCCCCTGCACCCCCACACAGGGCCCTGTGCCCCCTTGAGCCCCAGCAGTGCTTCCCTGAGGTATGGGCACACATTTTTCTCAGCTGCTCAGGCCGCGAGCCTGAGGAGCGTCCTTGCTGGGACTGCTGCCCTGAGAGGCCTGAGCCCCCCGCTCGTCCTTGCAGGTTCTCAGGCAGTCAGCACTGTGGCCACATCCACTGCGCCTACCAGTACCGAGAGCACTACCATTGCCTGGACCCCGAGTGCAACTACCAGGTAGGGCCCGGTGGGCACCAGCCCTGCCCCTGCGTGCCGGCCCAGCGGCAGACGAGCTTCCCGCAAGTGCGCTGGGGGCTCTCAACTCAAGCAGGCAGAGATCCCAGAAAACCAGCAGCCGCAGATAGGCGTCTGATAGGATCCTGAGCCATCTGCATCCCCGGGGTGATAATTGAAGCTCCCATTCACTGGGGGCTTGCCCTGACCCAGGGACCAGGCCAGCAGGCAGAGGTCCCTTATCGGACACTTCCCAGTGTCTTCATGAGGTCAGGTCTCCTGCCCCGTCTAACAGATGATCACACTGAGGCCCAGATAGATTGTCACTTATGGTCAAAACCACCTCTGATACGTGCAGAGCGGGTTGTCCCTCTTGCTCACCAGGGAGCTCGCGCTGGCACAGCCCGTCGGTGGTCCTGGGCAACAGGAGTCGTCACCCATCAGAGCCCCTGCCTGAAGGGCCGGGCCTGCTTCGGCTCCTCTGCTCCTGGGCATGACTGCCGGGAGCCTGGGGGGGGCCAGGGCAGGGTCGGCGTGGGGGGGGGGGCCTCCGGAACCTTTGGAATGGCTCCGTCTCCGGTCCCCTGTGCTGGCCTGGAGGCCACGCGGGCTGCTTCCACCCCAGGCAGGATCACTCCCCGGGACAGCCAAGGGGCCAGTGGTCTGGGCGGGGTAGGGGGGCCGGCCCCGACCCACGCGGCGCTGTCCCGCAGAGGTTCACAAGCAAGCAGGACGTGATCCGTCACTACAACATGCACAAGAAGCGTGACAACTCCCTGCAGCACGGCTTCATGCGCTTCAGCCCGCTGGACGACTGCAGCGTCTACTACCACGGCTGCCACCTCAACGGGAAGAGCACCCACTACCACTGCATGCAGGTGCCCCGCCCGCCCCGGGGGCCAGCGCGGCGGGGGGGCGGGGGGCAGCGCCGGGCGGGCCGGGGGGCTGGCCCCATGGCCATACTTGGTGCGGGTGCAATTCAGGGAGCTGTTTATACAGACCGACATTTTTCAGGCTTTAACACCAAGAGCCGCATTGCAAATGGTTCCTGAGGAGCTTTTTGTTTAATTCTCTGTTTTAATGCCACGCAGAGTCTGGGCTTTTTCAAGGTGTCAGGTCCAGGGGGAGCGACTGGGGGTTGCAAATAGCAGCCGGCGCGCCTCCCCCGGGTATTTGTCAGGGGGTTGTTATGGGCTCCGTGGAACAACCTGGGCCAGGAGGAGAGGGGGGCTCGCTCTCCGGGCCCTGAGATGGTGCAGACACTGGCACGGCCCAGCCTTCAAGAGTGCTCAGATTCCACTGGTTTTTACTCAATATGGCCACGTTGCCTGCCTTGGCCCAGCCCGGGTGGGGTGGGGAGGGCCCTGTGCCAGGAACTGTCCACGAAGTGAGTCCCTGGGCTGAAGGTGACCGCCAGGCCCCCCAGGTCCAGCCCTGCCCACCGCCAGGGGCTTTGGAGGGAGAGCCACTGATGAGGACCCCAGACTCACCTCCTGTGGGACTAGACTGTAACACCTGTGCCGGGAGGCGTCCAGGGGCCCTGAAGACAACCCGGCCCTGAGCACGGGCGAGGCCTGGAGGGCCAGAGGGGTTGTTAGAGGCTCTCCACCGTCCAGGGTGATGTTTACGGGGCCGAAGCCCCCCCTGAGCAGGGAGGTCACTGGCCAGCAGCATGGCTGCTCTGACCTGGGCCCTGGGGTGCCTGGCCTCAGTTGCCCTGACGGCTGTCCTGCCTGCAGGTGGGCTGTAACAAGGTGTATACCAGCACATCAGACGTGATGACCCACGAGAACTTCCACAAGAAGAACACCCAGCTCATCAACGATGGCTTCCAGCGCTTCCGAGCCACCGAGGACTGCGGCACAGCTGACTGCCAGTTCTACGGGCAGAAGACCACCCATTTCCACTGCAGGTAAGCGGGGCGCCAGCCGGGGAGGCTTCCTGGCCGGGGAGAGGGGGGAAGGAGGGACATAGGGATGTGGGCCGTACAGGGGTGGGAGGCTGCCCAGAAACTCCTCCTGGGCTCCCCGCTCCCTGACCCTCCCACCCCGCTCCGGGGCCGCGGCGGGGGCAGCGCAGGACCGCCTCCGGGCCCCCCGGGGCCCTGCAACAGGCTCCCGATGTCCCGCCCAGGCGCCCTGGCTGCACGTTCACCTTCAAGAACAAGTGTGACATCGAGAAGCACAAGAGCTACCACATCAAGGATGACGCGTATGCCAAGGACGGCTTTAAGAAGTTCTACAAGTACGAGGAGTGCAGGTACGAGGGCTGCGTGTACAGCAAGGCCACCAACCACTTCCACTGCATCCGCGCTGGCTGCGGCTTCACCTTCACCTCCACCAGCCAGATGACCTCCCACAAGCGCAAGCACGAGCGCAGGCACGTGCGCTCCTCGGGCGTGCTGGGGCTGCCGGCCTCGCTGCTGGGCGCCAAGGACACAGAGCACGAGGAGTCAAGCAACGACGACCTGGTCGACTTCTCGGCCTTGAGCAGCAAGAACTCCAGCCTGAGCGCCTCCCCGACCAGCCAGCAGTCCTCCGCCTCCCTGGCCGCCGCCGCCGCCGCCACCTCGGAGGCCGTGCCCGGCGCCGCCAAGCCTCCCAACAGCAAGATCTCGGGGCTGCTGTCCCAGGGCCTGCCCGCTTCCATCCCGCTGGCACTGGCCCTCTCCAACTCAGGCCTGCCCACCGCCGCCCCCTACTTCCCCATCCTGCCAGCTCGGAGCGGCGCCTCCCTGCCCGTGGGCGCCCCCGGCCTGCTGGGTGCCATGTCATCAGGGGTGGCAGCCTCAGCAGCTGCTGACACGCCTGCTCTGGCTGCCTCGGGAGCCGGCGACTCTGCCCCGGCGGCTGCCTCCTCCGTCCCGGTGCCCCCCACCTCCATCATGGAAAGGATCTCGGCGAGCAAGGGCCTCATTTCACCCATGATGGCCAGGCTGGCCGCCGCCGCCCTCAAGCCCTCTGCCACCTTTGACCCAGGTGAGCAGGCCGGGCCCTGCCCCAGGAACCCACAGCCTCGGGTTGCGGAGCAGAGGGGGAGTGGGGTGGAGGCTGGCAAAGCGCCTTCCTACTTCTGCACCCACGGCCCCTGCCCGCCCAGCCCCCCATCTTGCCTGGTCTCTTCCTCCTACCGTTTATTTGCTCTTGGGGGCCCCTCGTTCTGGCCTGCCCACCCTCTGCAGGCAGCCCTTGTCCCTCATCTGTGAAGTGGAGGCGGTTAAGCCTTCACATCCTGGGGGCAACTGCTCCTCACCCGCTGCCCTGACTTCTCACCCGACCTCATCCCAAGTCCGGCCCCTGATGAGAGCAGTCCCAGAGCCCCCGCGTTTCCCTAGGGCCCCCCTCTGTGTCACCTGGAGGGGACAGGATTCCGGTGGGGTGGCCAGACTTCAGGGATGCTTGGGATTCACACCTGGCCAGCCCCTCAAGGCCAAGGACATCCTTCCAGTCTCTCCCCCTCAATCAGTGCCATCTGGTAGAACTTTCTGCGACCACGGAAACGTTCTGTTCTGCGCTGTCCAGTATGGCAGCCGCTAGTCACAGGTGCCTGTTGAGCGCTTGAAATTGGCCATGTGACCAGGGAACTGGATTTCTATTGGAATTACTTTAACCGAGTCACACCTGGCCAGCTGCTGCCATGTTGGACAACGCAGCTGGAGCCTCCTGCTTACACCTCCGCCCTCCCTCTGGCTCGCCAAGGGGCGCAGTTCTCCTCTCTCAGGTTTTCTACTCTTTTTAAATGTCTTCTGTGTCTCTGGAGCTCTTCGGCTTTTCTGTTTACCTGGCTCCTCTCGCCTGTCCCCTGTGACAAAAGTCAGCTGTCACTTCATCCACTCATTCAACAACCGCTGTGCTTGCTAAGGGCCGGGCACCTGGCCGGTGCTGGGGACACACAGGGAGGCAGAGTCCTGCCTTGTGGAGCTGAAGGACCAGTGCGGATAGTCTGCTCCCGGCACACAGCTAAGAGGGGGCCAAGTCTGGTGGACCTCGGTGGTCCGACTCCTGAGCCCGAGCGCCCTGCTCCTCTGTGAGGTCATCTCGAGACCAGCCAAGCCCTAAGGTCCCTGCGGCCTAGCCCAGGGATCTGCCCAGACCTCCCGGAGGGCCTGCCCATATCCTGGGGGACCTTGGGCAAGTGACCTTGGGGAGCTACCGGCATGTGGACGCTGAGTTCCAAAAACTCGGCTGTCCCCAGTGGGACACTCCTGTCAGCTGGAAGTGGCAAGACCCACCTTCCATTCCAGGCGTGGGAGGGACAGCAGGACTGCCCCAGGGGCTATGCCTCTCTGGCCAGCCGTTTCAGGGCCACGTGGGGCTCCGTGGCCAGACTGGCAACTTCTTCCTTTTCATTAGAAAAATCTCCTTCCCCCAAAAGAAAGGGCAAGGAAGGGGAGGGGGCCCATTTTCCTTTATTTTTTAATAAAATGCCACTTGCTGCCTGTGAAGCAGGCCTCTGTCGGCCACAGCGCCTTGGGGCAGAGCAGTATTTCAGCCACTTGGGGATTGTGGAGAAGGGCTCGGTGGACACACTCCTGTCAGCAGCTGCTTCTGCCCCTGCTCTGCTCGGCCTCCCCGGTCCTCTGCCCGCCCAGCTCCGGCCTTTCCCCCAGTGGCGGCACCCCACCAGCTCCCACCTAGCCCCGGTCCAGCCCAGCCCGGCCCGAGTGGGCCTCCTATCCCTGCCCTGGACAGCTTGACGGGCGAGGTCACATAGTTTGAACCGCTCTGATTGGCTGTCAGCTTCCATAGCCCTGACACAGCAGATGCCCCTCCTAGGCATGCTCAGTGGAAGGCAGGGCCGTCGCCCCGGCAACAGTGGGCCGGGGACCTGCGGAGGGGGCGCAGCTCCCAGTCTAGATCTGCCACTTTCCCTCAGCATTAACAGAGTCTTTAATAAAAGCCTAAGCGGCAGCCCCACAAATTGACTGTGACAGTCGGTGGAGAAAATGAAGGGCCCCCACCCCCGTGCCAGCCCCCTCCCCAGCCTCCCGCCCTTCTCCTCCAGGAGGCCCTGAGCCAGGACAACTTTGACATAATTTTGCAATAATTATCACTTGAAGAATTGCCACACAGGGGTAAGCGTCACAAGCGATCATGTCAATGGGGAGAATCGCTGACCAGCAGCCAGGGCTCCCCCAGGGCCCCAGCCCACCCAGCCCACTGCCCTCCCTGCTGGGCGGTGAGGGGGTTCCGGTTTGTGCCCAGAGGAAGCCCTCAGCCCCTCTAACACCATCTTCCCTCCCCTCCCCTGTAGGAAGCGGGCAGCAGGCCGCCCCCGCCAGGTTCCCCACAACCCCAGTGAAGCAGGAGCCCGGTGAGGACACTGGCACCCCGGTTCCCCACGAGGTCTCCCAGGACCGCAGTTTAGACCTGACTGTGAAGGAGCCCAGGTGAGGCGAGGCTGGGGCCTTCCAGTTCTGCTCCATGGCAGGAGGCTCTGGGCCAGCACTCCTGGAGGCACACCGCACAGAGGCCAGGAGACGACCCCTCCTAGCGGGGGTCGTCGTCCTGCCCAGGCAGATGTCGTAGGCGGGGCCGGGGCCCGAGGGATGGGCTGGGAAGGGTGAGTATTTGGGCTCAGTCCCACGTACATCCAAGCTAAAGCCCCTTGGTTTGTGTGTTCCAGCAATGAATCAAATGGCCACGCAGTCCCGGCAAATTCATCTCTTTTATCCTCGCTTATGAATAAGGTAGGAACCATCCATCACACGCCTCCCATTCCCCCACCCAGAGAAATTAAAGCTATGCTGGGGGGTGGGGGGGATGTGTTTGTTTTTTAATGTTTTGCCTCTAATAAGATGAGTTTGTACCATTTAAATTTTGAGGCCATTTTTCATCGGATATAATTTCAGAGCCCCTGCTTACAAATTAATTTAATGAACTGGCTGAAGAAATATATTCCAGCCTCTGACACCCTTTTTTTCCCTTCAGATGGAGGACTCCAAAAGCTTTTCCAGAGCCCTCTAACTTCTTCCGCTCTCAGTTATTAATTTTATTTATTTATTTTATATATATTTTTTGTTTGTTTAAAAAGGGGTGGGGGAGGGGCCCTAAAGTGGGAGCAAAGCATCAATTTCCACTTTTCGGGTTGAGTAATGGTCTCGGACGCCTTCCACAGAGGTCGCTCCAGAATATTTATTTTAAATAATGCAGGGTCTTTGTAAATTATACATCATCTCAAATATATTTTCCCCCTTCACATGATAAATTTGACTACAGCAAGATTAATTTGGTTACCGCACACAAGTGACTGCTGAGGGAGCTGGGCCCCGGCCGGACCTCACGGGTGGAGGTCCCGGCTGGGCCCTTGGTGGGGAAGGAGCCCCCTGCCGCCCTCTGCCCTCCGCCACAGGCCCCGTGCCCTCCACCTTCCCTCCCTCCCTCCTAGCTCTCTTGCTCTCCTTTTCCCTTCTCGGGTCACTGCCCCCTGCATCCCCTCGTTCCTTCCTGTCAGGGCCCCATGCCCCATGTGGGTCGAGCCTTTACACGGGCTCCCCCTCCCCACTCCCCCTCCGGGGCCCAGCAGCAGTGAGCCATCTTGATCTCACCCCATGAGCCTCCCTCCCTCCCTCTCTGCTCCTCCTTTGTGTGCCTTCTCTTGTTCTCAAGGAATTCATAGGGGTTCCCCCCCCTCCTCCTCCTGCACTTCTTTTGAAAACCTGGCAGGAAAATAACCAGGGAGCCACGAAGTCTGGGAAAAGCTAGGCTGGAGCATGTGCCCAGAGTCTCGGCCTTAGCTTGAGTGATGGATCTTAGCACCACAGGGCTTGTGTGGAGGAGCCCTGGCATCTCCACGGGGCCAGGGTAGTGCTGCACGTTGCCTGGGGCAGCATCCGTTCAGAGAGGGCTCGGCTATGGACAGAGCCTCGTGGGGCCAGGCCTCCTCTCCTCTCAGTGGCTCCGGTCTGTTGCGAGAGGCCCGAGGGGCCCAGAGCTGCTGCTGCTCCCAGGGTGGCCACGTTTGTGTCTTGAGGTCCCCAGCCTCAAGCATGGCCCCTGTGCTCTTCGCAGATGTCTCAGGGCAACCCCAACCTCGGCAGCCTGTTGAACATCAAGACGGAAGCAGAGGGCAGCGCCGCCATGGAGTCCTCGCCCTTCTTGGGCAAGGCTGTGAAGGCACTGGTTCAGGAGAAGCTGTCCGAGCCCTGGAAGGTGTACCTTCGAAGGTGAGGGGCTTCCTGGCAGAGCAAAAGAGCAGGGAGGGCCACGCCCACCCGTCGTGGTGGCCAGTGCCCCAGGGTCTCCTCTGACCACCGGTTCCTCTGCCAGGTTTGGCACCAAGGACTTCTGTGATGCCCAGTGTGACTTCCTTCACAAGGCCCACTTCCACTGTGTGGTGGAGGAGTGCGGCGCGCTTTTCAGCACCCTGGACGGGGCCATCAAGCACGCCAAGTGAGTGGGGGTCCCCGCGGCCCATGGCAACCTAGCCTCATTCATCCCAGCCGGGCTCAGGCTCTGGGCTGGGTGGGCCCAGGGGCTGCGCGGGCCTCTAGCTGCTTTCCAAGCAGGGACCCGTGTGCAGCTCCCACCAGACCTCAGAAGCTGAGCTGGCTTCTTAGAAGGTACTGCCTGAAAAAAAGGCAGGCTTCCCCGCCCTTCCACCTGCTCAGCTCCCAGCAGGATCTTCTGAGCCCATCCAGGCCCCACATAGAGACCCGGAGCAGGGTCTGCTTCTGCCCACCCCCACCCCCCACCCCCGCACCCCGCCCCCTGCAGCCGGCAGCCTGACCGCACATGTTCCCTGCAGAGTTAGCCGGAGAGACCCCTCTCTGACCCAGGTAGGGACCCTAGGTGAAGACCTTTCCTAGCCACAGTATTGTAGACGAGTAGATTCTCTTTGACCTAAAAATAAGGAAATTAATTTGTAAACCCATTGAGCTGAAAAGCAGCAGGCCCGCCTAGCATAATTGAACCCAGAACTTGCCGACATTTAAAACAGACCGAGGCTCCTGGGCCCTCACTCAGGCTCTGCTTACGGCTTAGGCAGCCCAGCTGCTAGTCTGAAGAAGAGCCAACTTCGAAGGCTGAGACCCGCCTTTAATTCTCAGAGCAGATTCTGGAAGCACGGACTTCGTGCGCCAGGGCCTGCTGTCCCTGTCCCCCCCTGCTCTGTGTAGGGAGGAGCTAGGGACAGCCACAGCAGGAAGGTCACAGGTAGGAAGGTAGTTAGGGCCGAGCTAGGAGCCCAAGTTGAGGACCAGAGGATACGGCCGTTTGTTGTCAGTCTTTCTTTCCTGGTAGGGTCATGCCTAGGACTGGGGACTGCGGGGGGAGGGAGGGGAGGGGGACACTGGGCCCCTAGGCTAGTGATGGGGTCAGACCCCGGGAAAGGCTACCTGCTTCGGGCCCTCGTCATTCCCCACCTGAGACGTGGCTTCTGCCTGTTGCAGCTTCCACTTCCGGACGGAGGGAGGAGCAGTGAAGGGAAACGCAGAGGCCTCCTTCCCCGCCTCGGCTGCGGAGACCAAACCTGCCTTGGCCCCCTCGTCCCCTCCAGCGCCTCCTGTCACCACAGCCACGGTTTCCTCTCTGGAAGGTCCCACTCCCAGCCCGGCCGCCGTGCCCTCCACCCCCACGCTGCTCGCCTGGAAGCAGCTCGCTTCCACCATACCCCAGATGCCTCAGATTCCAGCGTCAGTGCCTCACCTGCCCACTTCACCCTTGGCAACGACTTCTCTAGAAAACGCCAAGCCCCAGGTCAAACCCGGATTCCTGCAGTTCCAGGAGAAGTGAGTCCCTCGATGAGCCGGGAGTTCCGTGTCCCCCGTGTGTCTCGGGAGTAGGTGCTAGTAAGGGGAGCCGCGGAGGCCCTGCTCCTCACCCTGCACTTAGCCCTGGCTGTCCCCAGCCTCTCTGGGACACCGTCATTGGGTGATGGCCTTCTAGCCAAAGATGCTGCTTCTCTGGCCTCCCTGCCTGTTCCCAGAGCGGCCAGATGGGTGGGGGGGGTGGGATGGCCGCTGTTCCCGAGGGGCAGTGGTGACACAGTGAGGACCCGCTTGGGTGGACTGGGAGTGGTGGGCTGCATCTCGCCCTGGGCCTCCTTGTGGGTCTCTGTGGCTCGCACCCACGGCCAAGCCTCTGCGGAACAAGCGAAGTCATGGGTGGGGGGCGAGGGGGCTAGGCGCCACCCCACCCAGGCCCGTGCCCATCTGCACAATGGCCTGAGCTCTCAGGGGTGGAAGGGCCCTTCCCCACTGGATGGTGGTGGCGCCTTGTGGCGAGAACGGTGACTCTGTATCGTTATGTGTGCGGCTTCCTGTTCTCAATAAAAGTAATAAATTGGATGTGAACACACACCGCCTGAGCGGCAGCTGTCCTCCCTCTCTGAGCACCTGGGGCTGGGCCTACGGCATGGAGGGGGACCTGCGCTCCTCCCGTCCCTCCCCGGGTTTCCTCCAGTCCCCCTCGCCCTCAGCAGCAGCCCTCTTAGTTTCCCCAGCGCGGTCGGTTTCCCACCCCACGGCGGCCATAGGGGTGGCCATGGGGGCGGCCAGGGCTGAAGGCTGGGGCACATCATCCTTCGCACCTGTCTGCCGCCCAGGGGGGCAGGCCGTGGGGCGGGGCTACTGCTCCCTGGGCAGGCCGGCATGAAGCGGGGGGGCTCAGCCCAGCACCCCTCCGCCCCCCAAGCTCCACCACTCAGCTGGCCTGTGAGGTTCTCTGAGTGGGCGGGAGCCCCACGCCCTGGGCCGACCCTGGGGGCCCCCAGCAGCCGTGCACCTCGGCAGCACATGACAGCAGGCACGCATCCCCACTGGTCGAGGCCCCGTGGTAGCGGAGCTTCCTGGTAGGGCTGCCCACCCATCTGCACCCTGTCAGTCAGCCACACCCAGGGCAGTGCCCGTGCCAGGCCTGCCAGGCCCTCACTGGCCCCCCGCCAGGGCTGGCAGCGCCATCTCTCAGTTTCACATCCAAGAGGTTACTGCAGCCGTCCTTATCTATAATCCTGAGGTGTGGCCATGGAAACTACGTGTCCCAGCATGCAATGCTCTGGGCAGCCTTCACACTGCAATCCTTCCTGCACCATCCGAGCTCCAAAAAGAAGGCAGGAATGCATGCTGGGATCTGTAGTCTCCTCTGGCCAAAGCCACTTGAGGTGCGGGAGGAGGGCAGCCCAGGGGCCAGTCCTCTGGGCTGCACCCCAGGGGATGAGGGAGCAGAACCCCAACACGACAAATGTCAGGATGTCCGTGGGGAGGGCCCTGGGAATGCCAATGACCTTCTGGGCTGTGGTTTCATTCCAGCGATCCTTGCCTCGCAACGGACTGCAAGTATGCCAGCAAGTTCCACTTCCACTGTCTCTTTGGGAACTGCAAGTACGTCTGCAAAACCTCAGGCAAGGCTGAGTCACACTGCCTGGACCACATCAACCCCAACAACAACCTGGTGAACGTGCGAGACCAGTTTGCGTACTACTCACTTCAGTGTCTCTGTCCCAACCAGGTCAGCACGGGGAGGGGGCGGGGGCAGGGCCGGGGGGTAGGGGTCAGCACAGGGTGGAGGGGCAGGGCCTAGGGGGTGGGGGTCAGCACAGGGCTGGGGGGCAGGGCCCGGGGGGTAGGGGTCAGCACGGGGCGGGGGGCAGGGCCCGGGACCAGCTCCTCCTGGCAGGGATTCCGTTTCTCACACCCATTTTGAATTGGCCTCCTCCCGTCCCTGGAAAGGGCACTGTCGGCCCCTGGAGGCCCCTGGGCAGGGGTCCAGACTGGGGCTCCGTTGGTGAGGTCTGTCATGTCAACCCGGCCCTCAGTGGGGATGTCATGCTGGACAGCTGCTCTACACTTGGCATCATTCTGCCGGTCCTGGAACTGGGCTCCCTTTCCCCACACGCCGAGAATTTTACAATTCTAGGCCCACTGGGCAGTTAGAGATTCAACTGTCCATGCCCCAGACAGGAAGGGCAGATCAAGTTCACCTTAATAAAGGCCTACCCCGAGACTGGTAGGGGCTGTTTGGTAGAGTGCCTTGAGAAGGAGTCTGATCCCAGAGCTGGGCGATGCAGGGAAGAGTGCAGGGATAGATTAGTGATGTCTGCTCTGGGTGTGGGATCGGAGGCAGTTGGCACGATCACCAGGCTGGATGTTTCAGTCAAATGACAAAAGGGACAATACTGCTTTTGCACACGTGAAAGGCCTGTATCCGATTCCTGATTCTGAGCACGGAGGAGGGCCTGCCATGGCCCAGACGCGGGGGCCAGGTGGGAGCTCACAGAAGCTGTCCGCCTGTTCCTGACCCCCTTGCCCCTCCCTGCAGCACTGCGAGTTCCGGATGCGTGGACACTACCACTGCCTCCGGACTGGCTGCTACTTTGTGACCAACATCACCACCAAGTTGCCATGGCACATAAAGAAGCACGAGAAGGCCGAGCGGCGGGCGGCCAACGGGTTCAAGTACTTCACCAAGCGCGAGGAGTGTGGCAGGCTAGGTACTAGCGGCCGGGGCTGGGGGTGGCGGCTTGCGGCAAGGGGCAGGGGTGCAGCCTTGGCCCCCTCTCCCGGTACCCCCCTCTTGTCCCTGCCTCTCAGGCTCCACAGTTCTTTAAAAACGTCCCAGATCTCACAGGCTAGGAATTGCCACGGGGCAACCCTGTCCGACACAAAGAGCCCAGGAAGAGGGGCGAGGGGGACTCAGAGCACTCCAGCCACCACCCTCCCCCCAAGGAAAACGCCCCATGGGCAGAGTCAGGCCCTGACCCCGGAGCTCTTTCCTTTTCCCTCGAGGCCGTGCCGGTAACGTAGGAGCTCCTGAAGTGGCCTGCCCTGGGGTTGCTTTCCAGGGCTTGCACTACAAGGGCTTTGTCCAGAACGGACCCTGCTCCGTCTGCTCGTGTGTTCGTGCAGCAGATGCGTATTGAGGGACGGCTGCGTGCGGAGCATACTGTTGCAGGAGGTGGCGGGTGGGGGGTGGTGGCAGTAAGGCTTTGGGGCGTCTGCTCTGGCCAGCGCCGTGCTTAGTGGCAGGGATCTGGTGGGACAAGCAGGGACACTGTGGGTCAGCCCAGAGCATCTGCGACCTGGGCGACCCAGAAGGAGGAGGCCACACGTGTCCTGAGCTTCGCAGCAGATGCCAGGGAGCGGAGTCTGCTGTGAGAGCTGGGGCCTCGGCTGGGAAGCCGTCCACAGCCCCCGACCCGGGGCCCCCCGAGTCACTCCCTGGCCCCAGCTTGCCCTGGGGATGCCTTTTGGGGACGGGGCTCTGGGATGAGCGGGCACAGGGCAGAGCCCACCCATGTGCCTCACGATGGAGCCACATGTTCTTGGGCCTACAGATGTGGGGCAGGAATCTGCCAGGAACAAACTGGAAACTGGAAGGCAGGTGGCCGCGAGGCAGGCGGGCCAGACATCTGGGCTGCAGGCCGGGCCTGCTGGGATTCGGTGGCTGGAGCAGCAGGGCCTTGGGGGACCAGAGGTGGGGCAGCTGCATCTGCACTGGCCCTTCCAGAGGGGAAGGGGGAGCTACGCAGGGCAACTGCCAGGAAAGGGCAAGAAACAAACCTTTCTTTCAAGTATTAATTCGAAAAGAATTCACGGCCTGGGAGAGGGTTGGTAACTGGCAACAGAGGTCAACATTCAGTGGCCCGTGCCGTCCTCAGGCTCAGCTTACGGGTGTCGGGGTGCTCCGTAGCTGTCCGTATTTACTCAGCTTCGGGGGTTTTGGGTGGTAGTTGGGGCCAAACAAAGCTGGGGGATGACATAAGACACCTGGCCAGCCCCGGTGCCATGGCAACGGGCAGGCCTTCACCTGCCCTGCGCTGACACTGTTTCAGCCCTGCCCGCGCGCTGTTTGTTCTCAGCCCAGAGCCAAGCGGAGGTGGGGTGGGGGCAGGGCAGAGGCCTAAACAGGTCCGGGGAGAGGCTCCCGGGCTCCCCAGAGGAGACGTGAAGACACATCTTGCTTGCTGGGAGGGGGCTGACCTGGCGGACGGGTCATGAGGGTCTCTCGCCTGGAGCCCCGGGATCTCTCCGTTGGGGGGACAGGGGATGGGGGGCCCAGCCTGCCACATCACATGCCCTCCTGCCACCTGGGGCTGGGGTGGAGTGCAAGGCCTCCTCAGAGGAATGCCCCTGCGGGTCGGGGGGGCACGTGCCCTCTCCCTGGACACCAGTGCCCAGAAGGCCACCGACACGCAGCAGGTGCGGCGAGCGTTGGGCGGCGCGGGGCGCTCACGGCCGGGCGGGGCTGTGTCCGCAGGCTGCAAGTACAACCAGGTGAACAGCCACTTCCACTGCATCCGGGAGGGCTGCCAGTTCTCCTTCCTCCTCAAGCACCAGATGACCTCCCACGCCCGGAAGCACATGCGGAGGATGCTGGGGAAGAACTTCGATCGCGTGCCTCCCTCCCAGGTGAGAGCCCCCAGCCGGCCGCCGCCCCCTCCTCCGCCTGGGGTGGCGACAGGGCATCACCCTGTCCTGCTCTTGCTTCCAGGTGGGGGGCCCGTGCCGCCCTGAAGGCAGCAAGGCCCCCAGCCCAGCTTCCTCAGGGGCCCCCGCTTCCTTTCAGGGCCCCCCGAGCCTGATGGACACGGAGACAGATGAGTACATGGACTACATGGGCTGCAGCCCGGGCGCCGTGTCCTCCGAGTCGTCCACCATGGACCGAAGCTGCTCCAGCACCCCCGTGGGCAACGAGAGCACGGCGGCAGGTGAGTGCGTGGCCGGGGAGCTGGGACGGCGCCAGTTGCGGGCCAGGAAGAGACCTTGGGCGCCCGGAGACTTCCAGCCTGGGCCAGGCCCCTCCTCCCAAGGCCCAAGGCACTGCTGGGTCGGTCTTAGGACTGGAAGGTCATGGTCAAGTGGCCTCAAAGCGGGGACAGAGCCAGCCTCTGGGTGCGGCAGAGCCTGCGGGTCTGTGGGACGTGGGTCATGGAGGCCACCGCCTGCCAGCACTCAGCCCTTGGCTTTGGTTTCCAGGAGAGGACCCCAGGCTTGTCCTCTCTGAGCACTAACCGAATAGAGCAGCAGAGCCCCGCCCCCCGCCAGGAGGGCAGGTAGGCCGGGGCCCAGGCACCCGGCCCAGCACCCCCAGCGGCCGTCGTCCCAGACCAGGCTCCCGCCCACGCTGGGCTCGGCCGCAGGCCCTCCCCGAGCCCACCGTGACCTCCCCCTGCACAGCCTGCCCCTCCCGTTCTCTCCTCCCCCTGCCACCTCCTTCCCCACTCTGTCGTGGCGCCTCTCTGCTCCTCATCTGTCCACATGTTTTCATATCATACTTGCTTCTGCCATTGGGTTTCTCATTTGGGTTCTTTTTTGTTTGTTTTTTCTTTGTTTTGGTTTCCTTTTTTTTTTTCTCCCCCTGCGTTTCTCCACCCTCTCCAGGCTGCTCGGCTCCTCCTCCTCCTCCTCCTGCCGCCGCTGGTGACCAGGCTGCCCGCGTGGCTCCGCAGCCCCCACTGACCCCATCCTTCTCAGCGGCCGTGCTGCGGGCGCCCCTCCCCTCCCTCCCATGCCTCTTTTCTCCGCCCTGTGTCTCATACTCTCTGCTCAGTGCCACTCTCGGAGCCCCCCGGGGCCTGGGCCGCCCTGTCAGCAGCCCACCCCGCTTCCCGCCCACCACTGCGACTCCAAGTCCAGTACAAGGCGACGCCCCCCTAGTTCAGGACGCCGCAGGTAACTCGCACACGACTTCCTGCCAGTGTTTGTCACCCCGGCTGACCATCGAGGCCGTGATCCGGGGCCTGACCTTTTCCTGTGGCCTTGCCGGGCCGAGGACAGGGCCGCCTTGTGCCCCTCACAGCCCAGCACCCCCCCAGACCAGAGAACCTAGTCTCTGCCCCGCAGACTGCTCCTCTCCACCCCTGCCCGGCACTGGGTCCAGCCAGGGTCCTGACGTCAGCCTGAACCCCCATCCCTGGGGCCAAGCAGGAAGAAGGGGGGAGTCTGTGTGGCCCAGGCCCCAGGCAGTGCTCAATGGCAGAGGCGCCTCCTGCGCCCACCCTCAAGCCCCCCCCCCCACATCTGATGCCCTGTGGGAACGAGACCTGCCCTCCTCTCCCCTCCGGGGTGTACTCATCACCCCGGCTCTGTGCCTTCCCTCACTCATTTGGGCCTCACATTCTGCTGAGTGCCAGGCCCGGGGGTGTGGTGGAGAGCAGGGCAGGGGGGCCCTGCCTCGTGGGATTCAGCCCATGGAAAGCTGCCGCCATAACCAGGCAGAGCCCTGTACCAGCGACCACTCCACATGCGCCTGCATCTCCAGGCCCCAGACCCTCCCCGGTCCTCTGCTGGGCACCCCCACCCCGTGGCAGACCTTGGTTTCACCCGCTAAGGGTGGGTGACTGGGTCTATTCCCTTAGTGGACGATGCGGCCCAGTGGTGCCATGGAGGCTGGGCGTTCGAGGCAGGTTCAGGACAGGCTGAATGCGTCAGCTACGTGGGAGAAGCCTGGAGGATGCCCACCCTTGACCCCGGCTAGGGCCGGGCCCTGAAGCTTTCTCTCTGGTTTCTAGGGTGTGGGGCAGGGAGCGCTGGGATCGCTGCCCTTTCCCCCGTGGCCTGTGCCACGCCCCTCACCCCGCAGCAGTAGGGGCCTGGTGCCTCCCAGAAAGGGGATCAGGCAGACCTGGCAGTGGGGCATCCGGAGTCTAGGGAGGCAGCTGCATCCAGTAGGGAGGGCACAGATGGGCACCCATCTGTTGGCTGAGCCCCTGCTCCAGCCTGGCCCCTCAGCAGAGCTGTCCTCTCCCAGCTAACTGGGGCCAGAAGACCCCAACAAGACTTTAAAGAACCTTCTGGTATGAAGGGGAAGGTGTCCCTCGGGGCAGGGAGTTGCAGTCCCAAACAGCCCCGGGGCGCTTGGCATCCCTGTTGCAAGTAGGCTGGTCCCCTGTGCAGACAGGTGGGCAGCCGGGGAAACTGGTTAGCCAGCTGGAGAAGGAACTGGCCTGTCCCTCATTAGAGGCGGGTGCATGATGGCGTCCTGGCCCCCGGCCAACCTGGGTAATTATACTCTGCCGACCTAGATTCCCCCTTCAGCTTCAATTAGCGCCGGGACGTGTCCTCACTTCCCACCCAAACTGGCCAGGAAGCAGCCACCACATCCCCCCCTCCCCCCGGGCTGCTTGCTCTGCCACCCCGGGCGGATGCCTGTGCCCTCATCCTGCAGACATGCGATGATGCAAGGGGAAGCCTGGGGCTCCCCGACTCTTCTGGGGAGGGGGAGGGGGGAGGCCCCCAGAGTCCCGGGGAAGCCAAGGCGTTGACCCCCGAGGGGCGCCCTCTGGCCGTGTGGTGCCGGGACTGGGGACCCGGTGTGGGTGTGTGATCCTGGGAATGGTGCCCCGGGCGGGGGGGTGGGCACTGACCTCCCCTGCCCCTCCCCAGGGAACACCATCTCCATGCCCACAGCCTCTGGGGCCAAGAAGCGCTTCTGGATCATCGAGGACATGTCGCCGTTCGGCAAGCGGCGCAAGACGGCCTCCTCGCGGAAGATGCTGGACGAGGGCATGATGCTGGAGGGCTTCCGGCGCTTCGACCTCTACGAGGACTGCAAGGACGCGGCGTGCCAGTTCTCGCTCAAGGTCACCCACTACCACTGCACGCGGGAGAACTGCGGCTACAAGTTCTGCGGGCGCACGCACATGTACAAGCACGCCCAGCACCACGACCGCGTGGACAACCTGGTGCTGGACGACTTCAAGCGCTTCAAGGCCTCGCTGCGCTGCCACTTCGCCGACTGCCCCTTCTCGGGCAGCAGCACCCACTTCCACTGCCTGCGCTGCCGCTTCCGCTGCACGGACAGCACCAAGGTCACGGCGCACCGCAAGCACCACGGCAAGCAGGACGTGATCAGCGCCGCGGGCTTCTGCCAGTTCAGCTCCAGCGCCGACTGCGCCGTGCCCGACTGCAAGTACAAGCTCAAGTGCTCGCACTTCCACTGCACCTACCCCGGCTGCCGCCACACGGTCGTGGGCATGTCGCAGATGGACTCGCACAAGCGCAAGCACGAGAAGCAGGAGCGCGGGGAGCCGCCCGCCGCCTCCCCGGGCCCCGCCGTCGGCCTGGACAGCGCGCTGTCGCTGGGCGCCGAGCCGGGGGGCGCCCTGCTCTTCCTGCCGCCCGCCGCCGCCGCCACCGCCGCCGCCGGTGGCCCGGGGGGGCTGGGGCTGGGGCTGGGCGACCCGGGCGACCCCGGCCCGCTCGACGGCCCCGGGCCCCGCGACGGCCCCGCCGCGCCCGCGCCCGTGCCCGCGGCCGGAGAGTCGTCACAGGAGGACGAGGAAGAGGAGCTGGAGCTGCCCGAGGAGGAGGCGGACGAGGACGAGGACGAGGATGAGGATGACGACGAGGACGATGAGGACGACGAGGACGAGGACGACGACGAGGACCTGCGCACCGACTCAGAGGAGGAGTCGCTGCCCGAGGCGGCGGCGGGGGGGCCCGGGGCGCGGAGCCCGGAGCTGGCGGCCCCTGCGCCCGCCGCAGCCTCGCCCTAGCCGGCCCGTCGGGGGGAGGGACGCGGGGACCGGGCCCGGGGCCTCCTCGCCCGCCCCCCCCCTCTGGTGGCCGTTGCGATTCCTTTTGTAAGAGATGCTATTTATGTGTAACGCTGCCCTCGGTCCAGAGCGAGACGGTCGCCCCCGCCGCGGGGCTCGAGGCGGCCCCGCCGGTGCTTCCGGACCCCGAGTCCGTCTCAGGACAGAGGCGGGGGCCTCCCTCTGGTGCTCCCGGGCCGCCCCCGCCCCGCCCGCGGTGCGCGGCCAGCGGCTGGAAGGACCGGCTGCGAGCGACCCTCCTCTGGCTGCACTTCGGGGATCTTCTTCTTCAGGGAAACAGAAGGTGCTCTTGTCCGGGGTGGGACCGAGGAGCAGGGGGCCCCCCCGAGGGCGAGGCGGGCACAGACAACCGGGCAGCCGCCCCGCGCGCCCCTCCCCGCGGCCGGGCCCCGGGCCCCACGACCACGCCGGTGGGATTCCTCATTGCTCAGGACCGGGAAGGGCGCTGGGGGTCACCGCGACCCCCTCCCCTCCCCCCCAGAGGCGGGCCGCGGTAGCATCTGGCAGGGCCTCCCATTCGTGCAGCTAAGACGCTCCCTCCCGGCCCTGGGGGGGTGGGGGGCGGGGCAGAGGCAGCAGCGCCGGCGACACTGCAGGGACCGCAGGGAACCCCACGGAATTAGCCGAGCCGGGAGGCCGGGGCGCTGCGCCCCACCGCAGGGCCCGGCCCTGGGGTCTGCTCCTGAGGGCTGGGGCCCGGAGGCGACGCGCCTCAGCCTGCCGCTCGGGGGCTCCCAGGCCCCAGCCTCTGCCCCCAGGGGGGAGGCCGGGGCTGCATCCGCTGCTTCCAGACCGAAGAGCAGCCAGTGCTGGGGTGCTGGGCCCGGAAGGGGCCTCAGCCACCACGTGGTGGGAACAGGAAGGATACCACTGTCTGGGCTTTAATATTCAAAATGGGGGGAAAAATGCGAGAAAGTTGTACAGTATTTTTCCTGTAAAGGTTATTATTCTACATAGAACAAAACAAAACAAAAAGGCAGGCGGGCCGCGAGAGCCCGGCCCGCCTCGGACCAGCCCTGGGGTTGGAGACCGAGTGCAATCGCTCACGTGGGGCTTCGTTTCGCATTTATTTTAGAGGCCTTACCCGTTTGAGGCCGTCTTCACACTAGCACTGACGGGAGCTGCGTGATTCCAACTTTTAACTTGAATTTTGTAGAAACAAGGAAAAAGGACTATTACTGTTGATACAAGTTTGTAGTTAACATTTGAGTTTTTCTCTATTGGTTATGCGTGTGGCTTTGTAGGGCTTTTTTTTTTTTTTCCAGTTTGTTTTTATTTTATTTCTTTGTTTGGGATGCTTCTTTGGTGCAACCCATCCAGATTTGCTTCCCTTTGCAAAACGTCCCCCCTTCCCAGAGTGGACGAGGTCACCAAGCCCAGTTTGCGGGGAGGGGGGTGCCACAGGGACAAGGGCTTCCCGCGTCTTCAGTCCTGGCCACCCGCCTGGCTCAGGTGGGACCCTGAGACCCGGCCACAGGGAGAGAGCCAAGCCCAGCCTGGAGGAGGCCTGCCACCCAGAGCCTCCCCCACAGATCTCCAAGGGGAGCCCCAGATGGCAGGGGGCACTGGTTTCTTTTTTTTTTTTTTTTGGTCCGTGTGTGTGTGTGTGTGTGTGTGTGTGTGTGTCCTCTTGGTTGCCCACAGCCAGAGAGCCAGGATCATCTGCACTGGGGAGGGAGCAGGGAGGGAGGAGCGGTCAGACGAGCGTACCTGATCCATCAGGCAGCAGATCGTTGTCTAAAACAGCCCCTACCAGAGCCTCCTGAATTCTGTGGGCACCACGCTGCTGCTGAGCACTCGCCCAGACTCTGTGCCCTACCACGGAACCGCTGGGTGTGTGGAGGGAGTTTTGTAAAGGAAAAAAACAAAGAAACAAACAAAAAAAAAACAAAAAAACAAAACACAAAAACATTTTTCAATGTAGCAAAATTAAACAAAAAAATGAAAAGAAAATCGGAGATGCCGACAGTGCGAAGTCTGGCCTTTTGTAACCTTCATATTGCACACTAGGACTATAAGCCATCGCTAGCTCATTTTGAATTTTAATGTGTAATTTTGTTTTATTTTCTTTCTGTGGGGAAAACAATGCTTGATCCACCAATGCTCTTTTTAATGTTTTATAACTATGTATGTGTATATATATAAATATAAAATAACATGTATGCACATATGTGTGTGTATATATCTATATGTATATACATATATAGATATATAGAGATATATAGAGAGGTTTTGAGACGAAAAATGCAGAACGTGAAAACCGAACTGAACAGTGTGTGCTCTGATTACTTGAATCTGGTCTCCTCGGCACCTGGTTAACTGAATATTTTTCCACTTGAATTTAGTGCTATTAGAAATTTAATATATGTGTTTTATTTATTTGATTTTTTTTTTTTTGCATGACTGATGCAAGGTTTGACATTTTCACTCAATAAAAACTGGAAAAAAATCTATCAAGTTATCTTTTTTTTTTTAAGATTTTATTTATTTATTTGAGAGAGAATGAGAGACAGAGAGCATGAGAGGGAGGAGGGTCAGAGGGAGAAGCAGACTCCCCGCCGAGCAGGGAGCCCGATGCGGGACTCGATCCCGGGACTCCAGGATCATGACCTGAGCCGAAGGCAGTCGCTCAACCGACTGAGCCACCCAGGCGCCCAAGTTATCTTTTATTTTTAAAACCAGCCCCAAGTGGCTGGCGGGGACCCAGCTGTGCAGGACGGCACAGGGCAGGGAGGAGTGGAGGGAGTCGGTCACCCCTCAACCCTGGCAGGAAAGGGGCAGACCAGTTCCACCCTGGGATGGGGCCAAGTTCCTCCAGGTTGCTGGGGACAGACGGTGGGGAGCTCAGGCCCTGTCCACCCAAAGGGTGGCCTCCTTCCCCTCCTGCCTGCACGGGAGGCTCAGCGGCTGCCAGAGGGCACAGCCGACTGGCATGGAAGCCTCTGGCCGCAGGCAAAGGTTCCATGGGCTCCCCGGGCCCCCTGAGACCCCGGCCAGCCCAACCTCTCGCAGCCAGGGCTACTGGGCAGGCGTTTGGCAGGGTCATCCCTCTGCCTCCTCCTTCCTGCAGGGACCTGCCTGGGCTGGGAACGGTGCATACCCGGATCCGATCCGGATGCTGGCTCGGCTCCTGCCTGGAGCACAGGGGGGCAGAGCCAGAGGGGGCCAACTCCTAGGTCCGCAGCCACCAGCCCCAGGCCTGAACTGCCGGCCCTGGTGGCCCCTTGGCAGGGGGCGGGGGGAGGTTCCCTCGCAAGTGTGCGTGGACCGCCACCAGGCCTGGCCCAGAGCGCAGGCCTCATGCCTCGTTTGCCCTGACACTTCTAAATGGTGACCCACTTCCCACTAACCCTCATCATCAGCACCATTTTGCCAGCCTTGCCCTGAGCTGACGTCCTTCCAGGTGGCCAAAGCATCCCAGAGCCCCGTGGGGGCGGGGACATTCTTCCACTTGGAGGAGCATCTCCCTGCGGGTCACAGCCCTGCACTGAGCACACCCACTTTCCTGAGCGGGAACTGGGGGCCGGGAAGGTGAGGCCCCACGGCGCCCTGCTCCCCTGGCTGGGCAGCAGCTGGGCCAGGGCCGGCGGGGGGGCGGCCGGGGGGGGGCGGGGGGCTGCCTCTCCCTCCGTCTCCTGGGTCTGCACCCGCCCAGCACTCTGCTCCATGTCGTTCCCACCACAAAGCCTCCTTCCCAGCCCAGCCCCAGCACAGAAGGCCCTTCCTTTTCTCCTTTCTTCCTGGAACGCAGCCCACAGGCTATTTACATAAATATGTTTGTAACAGACGCGAAAATATATACTTTTTTCTGTCTTATTAAAATGTTCAAGTTGGAACTCGCCTATTGTTTGTGGATATCTCGATTCTGTTAAATAAAACAGTGACTAATTTATGGGATAAAACACAAGTTCAACAAATTAAAACCATTATTGGAGCTTCACGGGCCCTGGTGGGCCGAGCAGCCCTCCCATGGGGCCCGAGGGGCGGCGTGGAGCCAAGCCCGGACCTCAGCTGGGTGAGTGGGTGGCGCGACCACAGGGCTGCTCTGGGTGCTACAGCAGGGGGCCAGGGGGCAGGCCCCACAGGGGCCTTGGAGGGCCAGCTCTCGGGGCCTCCAACGTCAGCTGCCTCTCAGGGACCCCTGGGGCCCAGGGGAGGGAGGAGAGACTCCGAGCAGATGAGGCCCCCCCAAGACAAACGCCCCCTCCCCAGCTGCCCCCGGGTCCTCCCCGCCCAGATGGATCTCGGCAGACCCACACACAGTGGACAGGAGGGAGGCCCAGCCAAGCTGCGGGCAGGCCCGGCTTCCAAGCTAGACCCAGGACAAGGCAGGCACAAGGGCCCAGGGGCATAGATCAGGAAGGCCTTGGACCTGGCCCAGGGAGGGGGGCGCTGGGTCTCGAGGTGCCCCTCCAAACAGCCTAAGGGGTGGACAAGGGCCTGCGACCCATCAGGACGCTGCACCAGGTCAGCTCTCACCGCCCCGAGTCCCAGGCGCTGCCCCGGATGAGGGCAGAGAGAAGTGGCCACATCACCCCCAGGAGCCAGCGCCCACTGAGACCATGTCCCCCACCCCCAGGAGGGAGGGGCTCGCAGCTGCAGCAGCACCCCGCCCCCCCCCGCCCCCCACCAGGAGCGGGCCCAGGCCCCACGGCACTGCCTATGGCTTGCTGGCCTCAGTAGGAAATGCAGTAAAACACGGCTTCATTCCTGGCTGTAATTAGCCTCGGTGGCGTGCTACTCCTACATCCAAACTGGGGCAAATTCGAGAGTTTTGTAACCTCTCGGAAAGAGCCAGAACCAGCTGCACAGGCTCACGCTGATGTCAGCGGCCGGCCCACCTCCCACAGACCCGGCCTGGCTTGGGGCTACCAGCAGCTGAGTCACCCATGGGAGGTGGGCCCCGGCCCTCACCGGCAGCCTTGCCCCAGCCCCACCTGGACGCGGTGACAGGCCGGCCCCCTCCCTGGGCCCCGTCGCCAGCAGGCCCAGTGAACCTGGGCAAAGGCGGCTTGCTCTCCAGCCTTCCATGCGGTGGCCCTGGCCCCACAGGCGGGCTTGGCCCCGGACCAGGGCACGATGGGTGGCGGACGGAGTGCGGCTGCCCCAAGGCCCGGGTCAGGCCTCCAGGAAGCCAGGTGCACAGCAGGGCCCCCCGGCCGGGCTGGAGCCCTGGGGAACCTCGTGGGGCCAGGCCCATGCCACCCTCGCTGGGAGAGCCGGCCCACCTCCGCGGGCAGCCAGACAGGAAGCGGCGCCCAGGAGGCCCGCAGCCCCCGGGACGCAGACGGTGCTGGAGCGGCCTGCCCCAGCTCCCGCTCGGGGCGGACGCGTGGCCTAGGGAAGCCCAAAGCTTTCTCCCCACCGAAGAACCCGCTCAGCCCTGGCCAGAGCTCCCCTCGGGCCTGGGGGCTGCGCCCTGGGTCCCCTGGGCATCCTAGGAACTGCTAAGGCCCAGAAACGACTCTCCCGGGCTGCTGGCCGGGGAGGCGGAGGGCCGGGCATCTGAGTGTGCGGATGGATTTAAAAAATGTGGCCGTCACCATAAAGAAGGTCCTTCCAGGACTTGTCAGGTAGCAAGGAAAGGCTTCACGCATTCCCCTTATGAAATAGTAAAATCTCACGTCTTCTTCTAGAAGAGCCTGAACTTTAAAGTGCTCAATAACTACTAAGGTTTGTTCATAATTGGCGTGAAAGGTACCCAACAATACTGGAGTGGGGTGGGGGGAGTTGGGAGCTGGGGGTCCCCGGGAGCTGCAGAGAGCACCCCCCAGCTCAGGCCCTCACATGGACAGGGTGGTGGTCCCATGTCAGCACCACACCATGAGGGTGTCTCCCCAGTGGCGGGCCCCCGCCTCCCAGCAGGGGCGGCTGATCCCAGGGTGGGAAACAGCCGTGCAGGGCAAAGGCGCAGGGCAGGACTGGGGTCTACCCCCAGGTGAGCACTTCACCTGAGGCTGGAGCCACACGTGCAGGGTCTCACCAGCCCCTTCGCTTCTGCTGCCAGGAGCCTTCGACCCTCTTCCCTGGGTGCCTTGGCAGAAACTATCTTAAACAAACAGATGAAGAAACACTAAGGATTAAGTAAACTCCTGAGGATCAGGTTGTCAGAAAACATCTCCTGCCTGTCCTTCCTCCTCCTTGGGCTCTGGGGCAGGGGCAGAGGGAGGGCTGGGGCAGAGGGAGGGCAGGGGCAGGGGCAGGGCTGGGGCAGAGGGAGGGCTGGGGTAGGGGTAGAGCTGGGGCAGAAGGATGGTTGGGGCAGGGGCAGAGGGAGGGCTGGGACAGGGGCAGGGCTGGGGCAGAGGGAGGGCTGGGGTAGGGGTAGAGCTGGGGCAGAAGGATGGCTGGGGCAGGGCAGAGGGAGGGCAGGGGCAGAGGGAGGGCTGGGGCAGGGGTGGGGCTGGGGCAGGGGTGGGGCTGAGGCAGAGGGAGGGCTGGGGCAGGGGTAGAGCCGGGGCAGAGGGAGGGCCGGGGCAGAGGGAGGGCTGGGGCAGGGGTAAAGCTGGGGCAGAGGGAGGGCCAGGGCAGAGGGAGGGCCGGGGCAGGGGCGGGGCTGGGGCAGGGGTGGGGCTGAGGCAGAGGGAGGGCTGGGGTAGGGGTAGAGCTGGGGCAGAGGGAGGGCTGGGGCAGAGGGAGGGCAGGGGCAGAGGGAGGGCTGGGGCAGGGTTGGGGCTGGGGCAGAGGGAGGGTTGGGGTAGGGGTAGAGCTGGGGCAGAAGGATGGCTGGGGCAGGGCAGAGGGAGGGCAGGGGCAGAGGGAGGGCTAGGGCAGGGGTGGGGCTGGGGCAGAGGGAGGGCTCGGGCAGGGGTAAAGCTGGGGCAGAGGGAGGGCAGGGGCAGAGGGAGGGCTGGGGTAGGGGCAGGGCTGGGGCAGGGGTGGGGCTGAGGCAGAAGGAGGGCAGGGGCAGAGGGAGGGCTGGGGCAGGGGTGGGGCTGGGGCAGAGGAAGGGCTGGGGCAGAGGGAGGGCTGGGGCAGGGGTAGAGCTGGGGCAGAGGGAGGGCCGGGGCAGAGGGAGGGCTGGGGCAGGGGTAGAGCTGAGGCAGAGGGGGGGGTAGAGCTGAGGCAGAGGAGGGCAGGGGCAGAGGGAGGGGTGGGGCAGAGGAAGGGCTGGGGCAGAGGGAGGGCTGGGGCAGGGGTAGAGCTGGGGCAGAGGGAGGGCCGGGGCAGAGGGAGGGCTGGGGCAGGGGTAGAGCTGAGGTGGGGGGGGTAGAGCTGAGGCAGAGGGAGGGCAGGGGCAGGGCTGGGGCAGGGGTAGAGCTGAGGCAGAGCGGGGGTAGAGCTGAGGCAGAGGGAGGGCAGGGGCAGGGCTGGGGCAGGGGTAGAGCTGAGGCAGAGGGAGGGCAGGGGCAGGGCTGGGGCAGGGGTAGAGCTGGGCAGGGCTGGGGCAGTCACCAGAGAGGGAGGTTCTGGGACCAGACCCAAGAGCCAACCTCAGCGCTTCCGGCTGGGCAGAGGGCAAGGGTGGGAGAAGAACCTTCTAGAGAACCCCTCCACTCCCATTTGGTGTGAGCCCCCAAAGCCACGACTTTCAGTGAGACAAGCCAGTCACAGGACCACTGGGTGAAGAGGTGCTTCCCGTCTTTAGTAAAATAAAGGTGGGGCGGGGGCCTGCAAACAAAGCCACAAACCCAGACGGACAGGAGAGGAGATCTGTGCTCTCCATTCCTCTCTGTACTGACCGGGCTTTTTAAACCTCTTCGATGTGCTTCACCACATGAAAAACCCCCGAACACTTCAAACTCAACAGCCCCCTCCCGCCCCCAGAAAGCTCTCCTTCCCAGCCCCAGGGGTCAAGGCCACGGCACAGAGCGCAGGAGGCTGGGCGGGCAGGTGGGGAGCAGCCTCCTGGGGCAGAGCCAACACCAGGCCAGGCTGGCTTGTGGCAGGGGAGGGGGGGCGTGCCTTCGGCCACAGCAGAGTCGGAGCCCAGGAGTCACAGGGGGGCGGCTGGGGAGACCTCGGGGCCAGGAGGGCGGCCCCGCAGCCTCCCGGAGCTGGGGCTGGGGCTGGTTCTTTCTTAAAAGACACTTTACAAAACTACATTGTCATTGAGTTTAATAATCTTCCCCCTTCCAGAAAGGCCTGACGGGCGCTGCTTGCTGCTCACTTCTGCCCCATTCCAAATATTTTTACCTTATTTGGATGAAATGCATTATTTTTCTAATGAAAGGCTTTTTTTTTTCCAAAGGGCTGTTTTCCCTCCGTCCAGCAGCTGCCTTTATTAGGCAGCACTCACGCCGTTTTGGGGAGGGGTTTTTTCCTCCCTGAAATCTCGCCAGACTCTCTGTCCTCAAAAGCTGACATTGGAGCTCAGGACCCGCAGGGCAAAAGGCCTCCAGGTCCAGTTTTCCTTCCCCATCTCCCGCATGTGAGCCCCCGGGCCCCGCCGGCCCACTGAACCCCACTGCCCCTGGCTGGGGATGGCGAGGCCTCGGGTCACCCGGTCTCGGGGGGCCACCACCCACCCCAACAGCACTGGCCAGCCCCGCCCCAGGCTCCCTGCCCTCTGCTCTCCCCCTCTGGGGCCACCGCAGGAGGGACCTCTGCAAAGTTCGAGACCAAGTTAGAGACGGTGACAAGTGGCCACCAAGCTGAAGAGCTGAATGGGGGGACCCCCAAAGCACCCACCGAGGACCTGGGGTTTCCATTCACTGAGGAGAGGTGGTGGCCCAGCGGGGTCTCCGGCCACATCCCACGGAGGCTGAGGGATGGGACCAGGCCTCCAGCCCTCTGCTCATTTGTCTCGGGTCCGCCCACCCGGCTCCCCGACACGGGGCAGGGGGAGTCCTCGGCCCAGACAGGCTGGTAGCCCCCGCAGACTGGGAAGCCTGGCTGCTTCGGGGGCAGCAAGGAGACAGGGGGGCAATGTGGGATCTGCTTGGCCCTAGGGAGCACGTGGTGGGGACAAGGGTCCACAGGGATGTTACGGGAGATTATGAGCATCAAAGGTGACACCTGAAAGCCGGCCAGAGGGCTGGACACTCAGGAGGGTCGGGAAGAGTTGGGTCACTGTCACGTGACCCCTGCATGGTGCCCTGGGCCACGGAATCCGGAATGGGTGCGCAGCAGCAGGGAGGGGACTGGGCTCTGAGCCCCCAAAAGGGGCCTAGGCAGAAGAAATGTTTTCTGCGACAGAACAGCCCCGGCAACGAGTCTCTCACCCGTCGATCCGCGGCCACCTCCTTCCCCGGGGCTGCCGGCGGGCCCGAGGCCGGGCAGCGGCGCACGCACGGCGGCCAGCAGGCTGCGAGGTGCGCGCCCCCAGGGGGACATAGTGCGCTGCGGGGCTCTGCCCCCTGGCCACTCGCCCTGCACTGTGTCCCCACTTTGTAACTACACGAGCCACCTGGAGGTGGCCTTGCCGTCTGTCCCCACGCCTGGCCGCAGCACGGGCTTGAGGGAGCGGGGGCTCCTCGGAAGGAGGGTCACACTGTTTTTCTGGGCGCAGCTGAACGCTGTGTGAAGGTTAACGGGAGACAGGGAGGGAGCGCGGGAGACGGGGGAGGAAGACAGAGCGAGACACACGCTCTCCTGGGAGCACATTCATCCATTTAAGGAAGGAGAGCTCATCACACTCAACCCCAGGTCTATATACAGTAACATGAGGTCCCTTCTGCATCAGGATGTCGCCCTTCGGCACCGAGGACCAAACCCTCCAGCTCGCAGTGAGCAGCTCATGAAACCCACCTCGGGAAAGGGACCGCTGCCCCTCGGGCCCAAGGGCAGGGCTGCCCGGGCCTGGCCCCCCAACCGGCCCCCCCACCCAGGGTGCACCTGGCACAGCCCTAGGGGAACCCTGCATCTGGGCACAGGGTACTACAGCAGACAGAGAGCCACAGGCAGGAATTAAATAGCGACAACTCGTATTTATTACAATTATATACAGTAGTATCTTATATTCTGAAACCTAGACCTGATCACACAAATGCACATGTGTTTCTGGGTGGGAAGGGCAGACAGGGAGGCCCTGACGCCTGGCTCCTATGTGGGAGTCCGAACCACGTCTCGCCACGGGGTTAGCTGAGTCACAACGCAGCAAGCGAGGACGGCAGAAGTGCAGTGTGATTTCATTCGTCTGGAAGGACGACAGGGCACGGTGGGGCTGGGACAGCGCATGGGGGCGGCATCATCTGGACGAGACCTGGCTGGGAGGCCCGGGGAGGCCCCGGCCCAGAGAGAAGAGCCCGGGGCCGTGGCTCTGGAAACATGACAAGACGGCCCCCCGGCCCCTTGCGGGCAAGTCAAGGAGCCATGGCAGGACAGGAGGGAGGTGGAAGAGCAGACACATCAATGCAGCCCTTCCTCTTCGGAGCATCAGGAGCCAGGTAATTAAACTACCTCTTGTCATGCACGGTGTTAGGTTAGCTAAGATGCTCAGCAGACACGCCCTGGACGAGACCTCTGTCCGGGAGCCGGGGCTCAAGGGGGCTGGAGTCCAGAGCACACGCCGCCACCCCGCCGCCTGACCTGAGCACAAGGTCGCAGGCCCGTCGGGCTGGGGCTGAGCTGAGGAAGTGGCGGGCTGGGGCTGGCGTTCAGGCGGGGGGAGGCTGGCCACACACAAATGCGACCCCACGCACAGGGCTCAGGCCCCACGGAGGCTGCGACGGCTCTGGCCCTACCCGGCTCGAGGCCGCCCTCCCAGAGCCAGAGAAGGAGCCAGGCCCCGGCAACCCGCTGGCGGAGGCCGAGCCCCGGGGGGGGCCTAGTCCCGCTCGTTCTCGTTGCTGGCGCCCTCCGGCCGGCGCAGCTTCTCCACCTGCTCGTTGATCTGCCCGTCCCCGCCCCGGCGGTCCTCCCTCTGCACCCCGAGGCAGGCTTCCTCGTCCACGTGGCTCAAGTCCTCGTCCTCCTCGTCTTCCTCGTCCTCCCTCTTCTCCTCCTCGCCCTGCACCTCCATCCTCACCTGGCCCTTGACATCCACCAGCCCCTGGCCCTCCTCCTGGGGGCCCAGCAGGTGGTAGGTGGCCGTGGAGCCCTCGGGGCCGTGGCCCTCCTTCACGGGCGAGGAGGACGTGGACTCGTTGCTGACGGGCGAGATGTCACTGCTGCTGTGGTGGTTGGCAGCCGCAGGGCTGGAGGGTGACGGGGACTTGACTGGGATCTGCCAAGACGGTATCTTCGGGGCTGAGGGGGACGGAGGGAACTGCCTCCTGACAGAGGGGGACAAGAAGCAGGGTTGGTGCCAGTACCCTGGGGTCCTCCCTCGGCAGAGCCACATTCCCCCATCCGAAGCACTCCCCCAGGGCTGCCGAGCAGGGGGACAGGAGGGAGCTCAGCGCCCCACCACCTCCCTCCCTGCCTGCCTCCCAGGTACAAGGCCTCTTGGCCGGTTGGAGGCTGGAGCAGCTGAGGTGGAAGCCAGAGGAGCCCCGTGAGGCCGTGGAGCGGCCTGCCCCACGCAGGGCGCCTCCCGGGCCCTCCCTGCCCGGACCGGGCCTGCCTGCCTTGGCAGGTACTGGCCCGCTGGCCCCAGGGGCTGCCACACACAGAAGCCGCTCTCTCCTGGTCCTTTGCATCTGGGACTGGGGGTGGTGAGTACGGGGAGCCAGCAGGGCACTGAGACTGAGCCGGAGAAATGGGAACCCAAGCCATGCGGCCTCGACTCCATCTACCTGATCCGCGGACTGGGCAGAACAGGGAAGACCTGGCCACTGGCTGTGGGGTCAGAAACCTCACAACCAGAAGGGTAACACTGGTGCACTTTGCTAGAAAACCTCTGAGCTCAACACTCGACAGGGAAGTCCCTTCTCCACTCCTGTTTCCCTGCTCGGGGCCCTGAGCCCTGGGCCAGCAGCCAGCCGGACCAAAGCCGATTCCATGAGGGACCTGGGAGGTCAGGTCTGCTTGGCAATGGTCTAGGACATGCAGGCCCATCTCTGCCTGAGCCAAGAGGACAAAGGCCTGCTCTCTCCTGGGTGGCCCACCGTCCACCAGTGCTGGTCCCAGGATAGCTCTTCCCCCTCGGCTCCCACAGCGGGCGGGCGCACAGCGAAGGCGGCCTGTATGCTAACGAGAAATGCACTTGGCACTTTTCTTGGCTCCAGTGTTACCCAAATGCCCACTCTCTGTCCCTCTGACCTCAAAGGCTCTTGTCTCCGAGGTTCAGAAACACAAAGGATTTCTCCTAATGACACACACCTCTCTTAGGGCCACATTCTTTTCTTCCAAGATGGCCTACAAGTAGGTGGCTTGGAGAAACTGGATCCCCTGGTTGGGGCCACAAGACCCCTGCAGCCCCCAATCTTTGACTGCAAGTGAAGGGCCACTTTGTGCCTTTGGACTGCCTCACGGAGCCCCCACTAAGCCCCGGAGAAATGAGAATGCAGGCAAGGCCAACCTGAAGTGCCCTGAGGTGAGGTGACCGTCCCAGTATCTATCCCAGGATGGAGGGGACACAAGTCGGTCACCCTCCACTCAGGGCAGCACTGGGACACAGCCTCCAGTGTGGGGGTTCACGGAAGGTGCTATCACCACAGAGGGACAGCAAAAGGAGACCACTGCTCCTGTCCCCTGCCTCGAACCTAGAATCCTTCCAACCAAGGACTCCCTGGCCTTCTGCGAGGAACTTCTCTGGGACCAAGCTGTCACTGAGAGGTCCAGTGTCGGGGCTCAGGATGGAGGAGGAGGAGGAGGTCCCTGTCTGGAGGTCCTTTTCAGGATGGGGATGTTCTCCTTTGTTCAAGGTACTGTGTTGTGGCTCCAGCTATCCGACAGGGCTGAGGAACTGCTGTACTTGAGAACTTGGGGGCACTGCAGACTGCCCCCCCTGGAGTGGAGAGGGAGGGGGCCTCCCGGGGAGGGAAGGCAGAAGCTCCAACGACTCCCAAACTCAATGCCTGAGTCGCCCAGCTCCACCAGGGGCTGGACGGACAGGGGCCTCTCGGGGAGATGCGCCCCGCCCATGAGAGCTGGCCAGGCCCCAGGAGCTCAGGCTCCACGGTCCCGGGCTGGGGGCCACAGCCACGCCTTCTCCCCTCCTACCGGTTTAAAAGCAGCCCCTTCAAGGAGTTAATTTCCGACTTGAGTTCATTGATATTCTGAGACTCCAGGATCCAATTGGTAGATGTGGTGGCCTGAAAGTCAAAACATGGGAGAAGGAGGATCAGAGCGGCACCTCCCCCCTGCCCCGTGGAGCTCAGACGGCCAGGGTGGCAGGAGGGGCTGCCAGCTCCAGAGGACCCAGGGTGTGAGTGTGGTACCCAGGTCCTGCTAGGTCCTGGGTGCCAGCCTGGAGACCCCCTGGGAAGGTTCTGCCACTGCCCGTTCAGGGGTCTGCCTACCCGGGTCTTTCTGCTTCAATGATGGCACCCTCAAAACAAACATGCCCACAACCCTGTTTGGACATCGGACGCTATTAAGCGATCGTGACATGTATTCAGGTATATAATAACGGTATTCCGACTATGTAAAATAACGGCAACACAAGAGCCCGTATCCTTCAAGAGATGCAAACTCAAGTGTCCGCAGTAACAAATGATCCACCGTCTGGCATGTGCCACCACGAGAGCCGGGGGTGCGGGCCGGGGGGCCGAGGCCACGCGCAGCGGCGTGCTGGAAGCAAGCCATCCGCTCTGTGGCCCTCTGTCTCCGCCTGTGTTTGAAATGTCCCATTAAAACTAAACTAATAAACTCAGTGAAGCCCATCTCCATGTCAACTGCTCCAGCGGAGTCCCTCTCCCTGCAGAGACGATCCCACCACCACAGGCGGGAACCCTGGGGTGGAGGCCGGCAGCCACCACAACCACACTGGGCAGGCCTACCTCGCTTCCCTACTTCACAAGTACTGTGCTTTTTTTTACAAAGTGAAGGTTTGTGGGCAACCCTGCGTTGAGCAAGTCTGTCGGCGCCATTTCCCAAGACCACTTGCTCGCTTTGAGTGTCTGTGTCACATTTCAGCAATTCTCGCAATATTTCAAACTTTTTCATTATTATTATGTTTGTTATAGTGATCTGTGATCAGTGAATAGGACTCACTGAAAGCTCAAATGATCGTCAGCAATTTGTAGCAATAAAGTATTTTTAAATTAAGGTATGCACATTTTTTTGGCATAATACTATTACACCCTTAACAGACTGAAGTACAGTGTAAACAACTCTCGTACACACTGGGAAGCCAAAAAAGTAATCTGACTCCCTTTACTGTGCTACTGGCTTTCCTGTGGTGACCTGGGACCAGACCCGCAGTATCTCCAAGGTGTGCTGGAGGGCCGGGGAGGCCGCTGAGCACCTGCCCGGCCCGGCCCCCAGCTCCAGTGGCAAGCACGCCCAGAAGGCAGGCTTCGCCCCGGGAGCACCTTCCCACACTACTGGGCAGCCCTCGGCTCCCACCGCAGCAAGGTCAGCCCCCCAGGCTGCACCCGGCTATCTGCAAAGCTGCAACAATGTGTGGGCCACACCATCCATCCGCAGCCACTGCTTTGGGATGATTCTGAAGGCTCAGCAGAGAGCAAGAAGCTGTCCTAGGACTTAACGCCAATTCTTTCCCTGAAGAGGGACCACGGAGAAACTGCCACAGCCCCTAGGACAGACGCCATCCTTGACCGTTTTCCAAATAAACTTCAGAGAACTATACCTTTCTTTGGCAAATCTTGCTGGGCTAGACGGAGAAGAGCAAAGTCCAAACGGTGGTCCCCCAAATGGTAGCTGCTGGTGGCCAAGTGGTCTGTGAAGTGTTTATGGGCCGGTTCCAGGTGTGACGGGCCCACATCCACCAGGCCGGAGGCCACCTCCACATGGGCTTCAAGTACGTGGATTAGTCGTGCAAGGGCCCAGCTTCCCTAACACCCCTACCCTGGCCGGACCCAGAAAACCGGAACCGTAAGTTCAGGAGAACACGGGGAGGCCCAGGCTGGCAGAGGGGAGGGGCCTCGGATGTTCCCACCAGGCTGGCGGGGATCTCTGACCTGGGGTGGGGGCCCCACTCAGGTGAGCACTCCTCTACAGGGAGAAGCCCTGCAGAGGGGCTGGAGGTCTTGGAGGGAGTGCACACAACCCCCCTGCAAACACCAGCCGCCCGCACACACATCCCCTCAGGGTCCTCACTCCAGACCACCAGACAGCGCAGATCCAGGAGCCACCGTTCTGGCTTCTCGGGGACCTTGAAAGCCATAGCAGCCCATTAACAAGGGAGCAATTTCCACTCACCGGCCTACAAAGGACTCAAATTTCCAAACGCATATGGTGCCAGATGCCAGGATTTAGAAATAAAATCTGACATCTGGGGCTTTTTAGCCAGTCTCTTTAAAAAACAGTTGTAGAAAACTCTCAGCCTTCAGTTTTATGTAGGTTTTTTAATTACTTAACGCTCTTCTTTTTAATTTTTTACAGGGCTGCAGTAGGAGTTTGGAAGCCAGATATAAAAACTTACATTACAGCTGAGAAAACACAGCTCTGAGTCGCTGGTTTATGGGGTAACCAAAGTCTTCACGCATTTGGGTTTAGACACCACACCAGTGAGCCCGCTTCAGTACAGGAGAGGATGAAAGGGGGCCGGGGACGCGGGCGGTGGGGGGGTGGGGGGGGACCATCAGGGAAGCAAGCACTAGGAACTCACAGAGACAGCTCTCAGCCACCAAGCACAGTCTCAGGCCCCCTCCCCTCTTAAAATGCAACATGTGGTCTTAATCTTAATGCTTAAGGTCTGCAAACAGTTTTCCAATTTCCGGAATGGCTTCTGGCCATTGGCAGGCCACCGCTCCCAAAGATAATAGAGGAGAGCAGGGTGGGGGCCATAACCCGGCCTTCCCGGCTGCTTTATGGGCTGCCCGCCCACAGGGAGCACGTACCGCGGCTAGAGGTGGCCACAGGGAACCACAGCCATCTGAGGAGGAAGTGGGGTATCCAAGAAGGGGATTCTTGGGGACCCTCTTCACAAGAGGCACCCCAGATTCCATCAGAAATGGAAAGATTCCTGTTTCACTTGGTTTTGCGAATGTAAAAGATTTGAGCACCCACTCACATTGGGTTCTGCACCGGGTGGGGCTTCTCCTGGGAGAGCCACTCAGAGGAGGTGCGGGCTGTGTGGAAGCAACGAGAAAGCAGCAGGGGATGGAGTGGGGAGCACAGCGGACGTCCTGGAGTCACTGGTGGACCAGTGTCTCCTGGGCTGGGTCTGTCCAAGACAGTGCCCGGGAATGACCTTGTCACGCACCCACAGCCCTAAGCCAGCAGCCTGCCATGCTGGGAGCCGACAGGAGCCAGGCGCTGTTCTAAGCACGGACAGACAACGAAGGAGGTGCCGTTACAGCTTCATTTTACAGATAAAGAAACAGACTCAGGGAGGTTAAGAAACCTGCCTGTGCTCACACAGCTCGCTGGGACTGCGACCCAGGCGGTCTGATCCTAGGATCTCATATTGCCAAGACTGCTCAGATGTGGGAAGTGAGGCAAGGAAACTGCTCCTTCAGGGGTCACCTGACTTCCCAAGAGCTGGGTGTAGAGACTCTGCCCACTGTAGCCGACTTCACCCAGCATCTTGGCACCCTCCCCCTACCTCCCTGTCCCCTGGACTCGCTCTTGGCCACGCTGTGACCTGTGGCCTAACATGCTCGGGGAGACCATCCTGTGTCTACCCCAACCACGTCCAGAGCTGCGTGTGTGCTGACACGGGAGGGCCACAGGCGAAGAGCTGCTTCCTCCCCCTGCTAGGAGGGGGCACGGAGAGACAGTGACTCCCTCCTCTCTCCGCAGAGGGCGTGTGGGCCCCTGCTGTGTAACGGGCACGAGAAAAGACAGAGTCGGCCCCCATGGAACACGGTGAACTGGGCACAAGGGCCCTGAGCGGAGCCCGGAGCAGGGCAGACCTGGATCTGGAGAGGGTCAGGAACAAGTACCTTGGCTGCAGCCAGTTCGTGGGCGAGCTCCTGGACCTTCTGCTGCTGCTGAATCAGCAGCTCCTGGATGGAGGCTAAAGTCATCTGTAACTGAGTCACTGGGAGGAGAAAGCAGTCGCATCTCTGTTAAATGATACGGATTCTTCCCCTCTCTGTCCACACACCTAGAGCTGCCGCATCTCACTGATCAGCAGACACCCCCCACCCCGCAATGCATGTAATTTATCTGCACTCTGGGCCATCTACCTGCACCGTATCTAACCTCTAGCATTCCCACTCCATCTTTCCATTGTGCACTTGTCCGTGGTCAACAGTATATCCGTCCGAAACCTCTCCCCTCCAGTTACATGTGCTTATGAAGTGCTCGGCTCTTCGGACTCTGGTACCGTCTATGTCCCTCATCTCAGCCCCTCACCTCGTGGGAACTCGCGGACTCTCCCATGCTGGCAGAAACGCATCTCAGGCCCGCGATGCCGGGAGCGGTTCGAGACTCCAAATCCTGCTCTCTGGCTGCTCCTCCCTGCCCTCCACACCCAATCCCGAGGATGCCGGCATGCCCCCGGGTCACAGTGTCACAGGGCCGTGTGGGAGCCATGGGCCCCAGCGTCAGCCTCCCCGGGGGCAGACGCACCAGAGCCTTTCTGGAGGCTCTGCAAACGCACCCCGGGGGGACAGACTCCTGCCTGGGACAGTGGCTCCGGCGCTTGCCTGAGTTTTTAGATTCAGAGCCTCTGTCTAGTAAACAAGTTTATAAAGAGGAAAAGCCACCTCTGGTGCGACAGGTCCCAGCTAATCTGGGCCATCGTTGGGGCACCGGGTAATGAACGCCAGCCCCGTGGAGTCAATGACAGAGGAGGTGGCTGGGGTCCCCAGAGCCGCAGTAATTACAGCCTTTCTTGACCCTGTGTTGGATTCTTAGAGGGAAGGGGGAAAAAAATCGCTGAAAACCCCCCTGAAAACCTCACAGAAGCAGAAATTAAAAATGAACTTTACAGCCCTTAGAAAGGCTGTCATTTTATTCCCCTTATTAATATTCTGAGGTTGGGAGCCTTTCCGTAAAAACATAATTAATTGAGGCCGCGCCGACAGTAAACAAGCAATTTCAAATTAAACCGAAATGACGGCGGCTTCATTTGCAAATGTGAACAGATTCTCAGAGCAGATAAATGAAGTCACCACATAAAGTGGAGACGGAGGGGGAGGGGCGGGGCAGAGAAGGGGCTGCTGGCGAAGGCTCGAAGGGGCGACTTGATGGAGTCATTAATCTTTACCTGTCTGTGCCACGCTGCCACTCAGCTCCGAGAGACTCGCCTCCATACTCTGCAGGTGCTTCCTGTCCTCTCGGCCACCCATGACGAGGGGGAGCAGGTATCTCTACAAGGAGCAGGGCGGGCGTCAGCAGCGGGCACGCACTTGGGGTCATTCTCCAGCCACCTCTCTAATTCTGCCCACCCACTTTCTCTCTGTCACCTCCGGGTTTCGGAAACCCGACGCAAACACCGTCAATGAGATACTTGAAAGTTACGAGGCTGATTAAAATTCTGCATAAGGACAAGGACCAGGAAGTAGGGACAAGTTAAAGTCAATTCGGTCTATTTTTGGTCCTTTTATTTAATCATCTCAATGATGCTACGTAGATTTCCGTAACAAAAAATATTTAAAATTCTGCTTTGAAAGTTGTAAGATAAAAATGTAGAAGGTGATGCAAGACAGTGATACCACTGGTGGCCTCCAGGGAGGAGCGGCAGGGACGCTTTTGACTGTACACTTTTCTGATCCTTTAGACATTTTGATCCACATGAATGAATCACCATTCAGAGACAAATGCATAAAATAAAATAAACAAAAAAATTATTCAAGAAACTAGATGAAAATCGACAGCACATGTCTGGGCCTTTGGTCCTTTTACTAGGGAATAATACACAGCATTCCGAGGCCATCGAAAGAGGTCACACCTCAAGTTTTTTTCCTAAACTAAGCCTTGAATCCTCAGAACTAGCGTCCTTCGGGTAAGAGTCAATCAAATGCAGTCAAATTCCCCCAGACACAAGGGCAGAAGGAAGAGGAAGGGGCAGAACCTGAAGAAACTGACCCTGGGGAGAAGGAAGTAGATGCCACAGAGCAACCAAACAAGGCGGCCCAGAATTCGGGAAGCCCAGGGGAAGAGGAGGGTCTTGGAACATTCAGGAAGAAGGCAAGTGGGGCATAGCTGGTAACTGGCTGCCTGCTTTGAGGTGGGAAGGGGTGGAGGGTGGGCAGCAGGGCAGCCGCTGGGAGGGCTGGGTGACAGAATATGGGCACTGCACTCCAGAAACTCTTGTTTTAGAAGCGTGAGCCCAGTCTCCAGCTTTGATGGGGGCGGAGGGCCCTGGAGGCAGCACAGGCTGGCAGGTGTGGTAACTGGCAGGTGGGACCAAAGCACGTGGCTTCCTACTCCATTTGGGGCCCAGATGGGAAAAGAGACAGCAGCAGCTTCTCCATTAAGGGTTCTGTACCGGGGAAGGAGAAGGAGGTCTCTCGCAGAACTCACTTCATGAGCGACTCCGGAGTGAAGATCATTATTTAGCAAAGACACAGAAGCATTTTCTATTTTGCAAAAAGCTTTTCAACCACTGTGTGAGTTATTACCCACAACTGAGCCGAAACTCATCAAATGTTTAGCCTTACCTTCCAGGTTGAAAGTTTCCTGAGCATAAAAATCAAGGGATTCGCACACATGTAACAAACGAAAACTTCTGAGATCAAAAAAGCCAAAGGAAGGAGCACATACACTCCCCCGAGCCTAAATCATTACATATTTATAAAACAAGGTGATGGTTCTTACCTCCTTTTTTTTTTTTTTTTTTTAATTTAAAGAAACTAAACAAAAAAATTCTCATCACCATTGCCACTGATCTTTCGGTGTCTCTTATTTTTTAAGGCCAAGAGTAAAGATCAGAGCTTGGTGGGAAAAGTTAATGATACCTCTGCTTTGCTCCAACCGGAACTAGGCCCACTTCCAGCAGACCACAGGCCGTCCGAGGGGGGCCACGTGATGATTAGGTACCGCTTAGTAAGAGCTGGGACGTTATTTTGAGAATTCTGTCTTAGCATTTTATTCTTCTTGGTGACTGGACACAGTTAGCAACTGGAAATAGGCTTTCAGCACACAGGGTAAGGGAAGGGCATCAGGTCAGGGGGAGAAGTCCCAGGACCTAGAACATTTTGCTTCTGGATTTCTGGCATGGAAATTTCCAATTCCAAGAATAGACGTTCCTCTGAAAAATTATACTCTGCTGCAACTCTGTCACTAGCTTTTGCATGAAGTCAAAAATTAAGAATCCCAGAGCACAGTGTTTAAACATGTTTCACGTGCTGAAAGTTACAACAGTGAGTCTGGGTATTCGTTGCAGGTGACATCAGGAGGAAAGAGGCCTTCTCTCCAGGACCAGCAGAGAGTAAGTTCTCTGACCACTGTTTTGTCTTTTGTCTCCGGGACCTACCCTGGCTCTGCATCTTCCAGAAAAGACTCGCTTCCTTCACGTCAAAGTTAGTATCTGGTAGTTCGTATCTGGTTAGTATTTGGTATCAAGGAAGTACGTGTTCATTTCATGCCTGCAGTTCTGCTGTAAGCAACCAAGGCTGGGATCCTGAGGGTTGACTATGAAGTTTGGGGAAAAAATCCTATATTTACAGGGATGCCAACACAATATGTAGGAAACAAAAACAGAGCCCGTAAATAAAATGATCCTGAGATTCTCAAAGCCGGTTTCAAATACTCAAGTAGAATAATAGCACAGAGAGCTTCCTGAGTGCCAGGCACACAGCACTTTCCAAAGGAGCTTCACAACAGCCTCGTGAGGTAGGTACTATCGTCCCCATTTTACAGATGAGACCACTGAGCTCCTGCTAAGTGGCAAAGCTGGGATGCAACACAGCAGCTGGGCTACAGTGTCCCTGCTCTCAACCACCCTGTCATTCTGTTTCTCAAAAATGTCCCACCTCCTCAGCATATGCCGGGCACTGTTCTAAGTACCCGACATGGCCTGTTGATGGACGGGCCCCATGGTCACCCTGCGCAGCAGGGACTCTGAGGAGCAATGCCCAGTGCAGCAGATGAGCAGGGTCTGAAGTTGCCAAGGGCACCCATCCCGGTGGGGGCAGGACAGAGACTGAACCAGACGCCCCCGCAGAAAACGTGCTCATCTGTACACTCTGCCTCCACACGCAGCCCCTCTCCTGCCATCGCACTCCAGGGCTGGGTGCCTCGACACAGATCAACCTTGGAACGGGGCTGAATGCCGGCGTGGGGGGCAAAAGGAAGGGCGGACGTACCTTGTAGAGCTGGTGAAAGCCAAACGCAATGCCTGCCGTGATGACAGCCAAGGCACCGTAGTCTCTCCATCGGGACCCCACAGGGCCTGAGGTTGGGAGAAAAGGTGCGTCAGGAGAAGCACACACATCCTTCCCGGGCAGGGGAGAGCACGTGTACTGCCTCTTAATCTCGAAGGATCGGCAACTGCGACACACAATTGCAGGAGACAGCATGTGACGGTGAGAACGGTGGCATGGCTGTGACTCTCTCTTCAGTCCGGGCTCTCGGAACGACCTGCCTCCACTACACACCTGCTGTGTGGAGATGGGTAGCCGTGAGCCAAGTCCCAGGGTGGCAGTCAGGTGGCAGAGGTGATCTGCAGACCTAGCACATGGACTCCACTCTCAGGGAACAAAGGGTCCAGTGAGGCTGACACAAACACACTTTTAAGTGTACATAAATACACGTCCCCACGCCATATTACAGACAGGGATGAGCTAAGAGCCACCTCAGAACCAGGGGAGGGGAAAGGAGGAGACTGCATCATCTGTGTATTCAAGACTTCATGAAGCATCAACTGTGTGCCGGACAGTGTTGTAGGCCCAGGGGCGTGGGGTGACGAGACCCCGGTGCCCTGGCCTGCTCTCATCCTGAACCATGCAGCAGACAGCTTACAAATGACTGAACAAGTTAACTCCAGAGAGTGATCAAGAAGGCCCAATGGGGTGGGGTGCCTGGCCGGGCTCAGTCGGTGGAGCATACGACTCTTGATCTCGGGGTCCTGAGTTCGAGCCCCACACTGGGCAGAGAGACTATTTAAATAAATAAAATCTTTAAACAACAACAAAAAGAAGGCCCAACGGGGCAATGTGAGGTGGGAAGGGCCAGGGAGGAGAGCCAGGGGTCAGCAGGGCCTTGGAGGAGGCAGACACTGAAACGTGTGGGGTCCCAGGGACAGAGCTCCAGGCAGGGGACGAGCAAGTACCAAGGCAGGGGTTGACTTGTGCTTAAGGAGAGAAGGTGGCCACTGTGGCCCGACTGAGCAACTGGGCCTACCCAAGAGGGGAGACTGGCAAGAACAGAGAGGGGCCAATCAAGCGGGAGTGGTGGAGGGTAGAGTGGGGGTAAAGAGCTGGGACACACAGTGGCCAGGTGGAGAGTGTGGCCAGGCCACCCGATCATCATGTCACAAGCAGTAGGGTCACTGAAGGCTCTGAATCCGGGAGTGACCCAGTCAGCCCTATATTCTGGGAGAACAACATCGGGTACCCTCAAGGGCAAGATACAGACGGGAGGGAAGCGAGGCAGGAGGAGGCTCCTGCCAGGGGGTAAGACGGACTGGGAGAGGACAAGAGGCTCAGAAGAACCCATGCTGCTGTTGGGCGGGGACCAGACATGGGCAGCCAGTCCTCCTGCAGGAATAGGACCCTGGCCCAGTGCTCTAGAACACCATTTCAGGAGCTCCCCCCGACTCCTGAATGGAATTCCAATCCCACAGGAGGAGAGCAGAGTGTTCTACCTTGTGATCTTTCCCACGGACTGTTTACAAAGTACTTGCATGTCCATAATCTTCTCTGACGCTCTGCCTCCTCTCAAGGGATCTGCCATGGAAGGCACGGCACACCATTTCCAGAATGATCAGTGGTGCGGGACACTAATCGGGTCTGCAGAATCAGACCACAGTGCCCACGGCAAGTTATCCAGAAGGCACCCACCCGAGGCGTGCTGTTATGACAAGGAAGCTGGGGTCTGGACACGCACGAGAGAAAAGGAAGAACAACAGCATTCTCAAACTTCTTGAAAAGACCACTACAGCTCCCGGAGCAAGGCCCCATGCAAATCGCGGGGACAGACACTGTGTGTCTCAGCCTTTACCTCTCCCCGTACCTGCAAGCTCTCCAGGTACTCCTCATAGCCTGGCATCTCCTGACAAAGGAGAACAGGAGAGGGACCTTCTCCCTTCTCCAGGCTCAGTGGCAGGATGTGGGCACTCGGTGAGGAGGGCCTGCTGACACACGGGCCACCAGGGGGATCCAAGGGGCAAAGACCTCCAAGGGGGCGAGGGAGACGCTCCCTCCTACCCGAGCTGCCAAATTGGCTTTCAGGAGGCAGATGTGACAGTGATGCAGGGGCCTGGAGGAGTCTCTCCTTGCCCGCCTCCCCTCACTGCCGGCACGGCCTGTGGATCCCAAACCAGTTTCCCAACGTGGCCCAGCCCTGGAGTCTCGTGCACAAACTGTAATCAACAGGTGGCCTCTCCCTCAGCCCTCAACTCCCCTTTTTGTTTTACAGCTTTTGAGCGGCTCATAGATGCATATGGTCTGAACAGCACATAGCATCTGTCATCAGTCTACTGCCAGCAGGCTCCCTCCACCACCCAGAGCCACTGTGAACAGCTTCCCGTCTGTCCGGCCCGAGGCTTTTTATGCACATGTAAGGCAACACAGATACGTATTATTTTTCTTCTTGCACACCCTACTTCTCATCCTGCTTTTTCCCCCCACAGCTGCGTAATGTTCCATTTAAGCCATTCCCCTCTGATTTCCGGCCTCTTACCATTTCACACAGTGCTGCCCCCAAGGGCCGCGTACACGTCATCTCGCGCACATAACGTGGGAGGACACTTGTACACGTGAACTCCTAGGAGCCTGGGTCAGAGGTACATGCAATTTGCAATTCAGAAAGATACTTTCAAATAGTCCTCCACAGGAGCTGAACCAGGCTGCTCCCACCAGCCCCGTCCCAGAGTGCCTATTTCCTCATAGCCACCAACAGCGCGCGCTCATCACACCCGCGTTGCTGCCCATACGAAAGTAGAAAAGACTACTTCACGCCCATTTTCATTTGCATGAATCTTACTGTGAGTAGGACTGAGCATCTCTGCACTGTGTGTCCTTTTTGGTGTATTGCATATGATCCCTACTCTCCTATTCAATTTCTTTATTAATTTCCTCATCAATTTATGTAAATTTCTTATATAGCTGAATGCGGCTTTCAGGAGGCAGAGGTGACAGTGATGGAGGAGCCTGGAAAATGAGCCCTCTATGACAGAAGTTGCAAAAATCGGGAATGCCTGGGTGGCTCAGTCGCTGAAGCGTCTGCCTTCGGCTCAGGTCATGATCTCAGGGTCCCGGGATGGAGCCCCGCATCGGGCTCCTTGCTCAGCAGGAAGCCTGCTTCTCCCTCTGCCACTCGCCCTGCTTGTGCATGGCCGCTCTCTCTCTCAAATAAATCGATAAAATCTTTTTAGAAAATTGCAAAAATCCTTCCCAGTATATTTTTCTTTTGACCCTGCTTATGGTGTCTCCTGACATGTAGCATACCCATGTTTATATAAACGTATCTGTCTACTCTCGCATGGGCTCTGGGGTCATCCCCACTTCCTCCCACGGTTGTGCAGTGACACTCAGGGTCACAGAAGCTGTCTCTAGAATGGAGCTCCGCTGGGGCGCCTGGGTGGCTCAGTTAAGCGGCCGACTCTTGATTTCAGCTCAGGTCACAATCTCAGGGTCCTGGGATGGAGCCCTGTGTTGGGCTCCGTGCTGGGTATGGAGCCTGCTTGGGATTCTCTCTGTCCCTCACCCTCTGGCCCTCCCCCTGCTCCCTCACTTAAAAAGAAAGAAAGGAGTCCTGCTGCTCTGCCGTAGTGAACATCCCCGTCCAACAGGCGTCTACGTGGCTAAGCAGCTGCAGCTCATTAAATCAAAAGCTCTGAGACCACTGACATAGATGGACCTTTCACCCTGGCCTGGAGGAGCCAGGAGGCTCTGAGTTCCGGGCAACCTTCTCATTTGTCTCATTCCAAGCCCACTCTGCTCTGAGTGCCTGGATGCAACATCCAACATCCAGCACAAGCTCATTTTTAGGAAGAAAAGTGGAGACAGAGTCACCTTATCACTCTTCAAGAGAGTCACTGGTCAGGAGGGCTTTCGTCCACACCCAGAGCATCCATCTGCGCTGTCAAAGTCCTCAGAGAGAGCACCTTCAAGATAGGCACATGTCCAGAATACTGTATTCACCACTGACTTCGCAAATCCCCACTCAGTACCTTGCAAGAACAGCTACACCTGGGCAAGGAACTGGACCAGAACCCAAAGTTTGCCTGGCTTCTTCTTTCCTGCAAACGTATGCTGTCTTGAGAAGCGCAGCCTCTCATTCTGGGCACTGGAGCCGGAAGGCTGAACAGGTGCTGACAGTTCAAGGGTCCACGAAGCAGAACCCCCGCGACAGCTGCAGCCGCCTTTCCAGAGCTCTGACCTCTCAAGCACCAAGCAACACCTGTGGCTCCCTGCCGGCCGCACCCTTCAGCCCCCGCACCGCGACTCGTTCCTGACATGCTCGCGTTAAGAACATTTTATTGCCCCTTGGTTTTCATTATTAATGAAAAGGGACCAGAATGATCTTTCTTAAAGTTCAGAGAGTCTATAAAGACAAGAAGCTGAAATGCCATTTTACTCGTTTTGGAGATGTGTGATACAATTCTGTCTTGTGGCAAAATGAAAAAAGAGAGAAACTAAGATGGAGGGAACTCTGACCCACCGCACACCTTTCAAAGGGTAACAGACCAGGGCTACTGAGAAAGCACTCGGCGTGATCCCAAACTGGCTCAAAGCCCCAGCCGTGGCCACGTGGAGTCCTCTCTGCCGCCCACCCTAGGCCCAATCTACCCCAAAGCCAGTGCAGACCCCCACGAGGGCATGGAGAGCAGGGCACCGGGTCCCCACGCTCCCCGAAGGTCCAGAATTTTACAGGCAAGGGCAGAAAATGGGGTCAGTCACTTTTCTGCTCTCACTCGGAAGAAAGGGGAGTGGAATGAACGAGCTTTTTAAAAGCTTCAGAGCCTCCAGTCTGGAAGCAGATGCCTGCCTGCGTACAAAGCAGACACGAAGCCTGAGATCAGAGATCCTGGTTCCACACCACCAACACAATGGCTCCCAAGGACGTTTTTCTCTTCTCATCAAGCACAGGCCACTTGACTGAAGGTGGCAGAGCTTTGCTACGTTGGAAGAACGGAGGAACAATGATCTGTTTACTGTCACTCAGATTCAAATGGTCCACAGCACTTCCCCAACATGCCCGACCAGCTAACGAGCTGAATGGCCCAGA